CACTGGCCTCCCCTTCCTGGCAGCCACAAATTGGATTCCGAAGATCGGGGGAAAAGCAATGACCCTTTCAAAACTTTTTCTAAAACGGTTGCTGGGCTACTAAAAGTGGCTCACAAAATGTGCTTAACTCTCTCGGTCTGATTTCTCACTGGCCGGGGCTGGTCTTTTTGGCTGCCCAATGCTCTGGAAGGGTAGACCTGATTCAAAGTGACAGCTTGGCCCCTTGAGAAAATCTCCTGGATGGTCCAACAGCTACCAACCTGAGGCCAGGACTCTCAATCTGTCTCTCTCTCATTTTTCTCTCTTTCCCTCCCTTAGTCTATCTTTCTCCGCCTCTCTCTTTACCTCTCACTCTATCTCTCAATCTTTCACTCTCACTTTCTCCAGTGTTCCATCTTTATCCCACCTCGCCCACGCTCTTTTTGGCTTGATGTGTTGTGGGTAGTGATGAGACTGTCTGCTGTCAGCTCTATAGGGAACCTGCACTGACCAAATTAAAAACCATCTCCCTGGATCGCATGATCAAAAATCAGAATCACAAATATCCTCAAGTTCCCATCTGTTACACAACCCCCACGATCAGCCAGTGAAACGCCTGGGCTGTGGTAGAACACTGCAACAACAACAGATAAAGGTCCGGGAGAAAGAAAACGCCATATGGTGGGCACAGCAACAACGTTCGAAGTCAATACTCAATTCTCCACTACATTTGCATTTGGTTTAGCTACGTACTAGGCTGTTAAAATATTATCGATTGAGCTCTGGTTTGACATTGGAACAAGGACTATGAGGGTTGCGTCACTTTGTAAGGCGAGGGCAGGTCCCTCCATATGCACCGGCAATAAATCACAGGTAATGAATCGACCATTATGAGATTGATTTTGGCTAATTCCGACTGAAGCACACTGACACAAACTTCACATCATGCTCCCCTAGAAATCCTGTGATTAAACAACGAACATTTGCATTGTGGAGTGACTGTAAGGGAAAAGGTTACAGGGTCAAATTATGAATGGTGCATAAATTATCCCGAAGACTCATCCGGTTTACTCAAATTGGGAAGGAAATGTATCTGTGGAATGAGTGGGAACGTGATTAATCCGTGGAATGAGCAGCACCCTGCTCGGCAAAAACATTAGTCTTTATTTAATGTGGGACAGGGAATATGATTGGGGCTGTGACATCATCGACAGGAATAATTTTACGGTACAGATGAGGCGTTTACTACCAAGCGCCTCATATATTTCTGCTTGGGGGAACATGTCACATTTCCACAAACAGCTAATTGAATAAACGCAACATGAGAGAAGCGAGTCATGTAAGCAGCATCAATTATGTGGGGCTCCAAACGGCAAAACATTCACGTTGATTAATATTGCTAATGAAGCCTATCTGGTTTTATTAGTTTCTTTCAGCATATCAAAAGGTTGGTAATGTAAAGTCTATAAAAGGACCCCTTGAGTCAAGTGCAGCTTTAGCTACAACAGAGTCACACAACACAACCTTGATATGCTAAATGCACTCATGTTGTGAATTTAAACCAACCTACCCTTTTCAAAACTTTTCAATACATAGTGTACACAGAAGCAATGTGCATTGTGTGGTGATGACGTAACAAATAGCAAGAAGGTCAAGTGCCAAAATCTGTAAACACTCTTACCCAGTAACTTAAAAGAAGTGACCAACTTCATGACCATGAAGCATAAACTAACAAAAACAAATGTAGTAGTTCCATCCAGTGAGTTACAGTGTGAAGTAACTGAGAGTTTTGATTCGAACTGCTGTGGTCTGGAGACATCTGGGAATGGGAGAGACAAGGACAGTATAGTACATTCAGGGACACATGATCAGTAGCAGACACAACCTCTGCTCCCACAGCCATGTTGTCCTAATGCACTTTTGAATTCAATTAGCTTCCAATTACAGTGGAGGCAATATGGCCCAGGGAGGATCTGTCTGAGGTGGTGGATTAATTCCCAGACGCTTGGCAGCACACCAAAGACTGCAGTGGGGCCCAGAAATGTATTCCTCCAGCAAAATAATCAAGTGCCCTTGTGAACTTCATCACACTCCCCTCTCCCTGGGCATGCTGCTATGAGTTGCTAAGGATTTTTTGTTATGTCTGTAAGGATGATGGGCTTGGGAGAGTATGAAAGGCTCCTATTCTGGGATTTGGATGACCCCTGTACTGAGGGAAATACACAGGGAGTAAACAGGTAGTGGGGATAAGATAAGACATTTTACTGATGAGCACTGACTGCACACAGCCGTACAATAAATGATAGAAACCAGCCTGATAAGTGATAAGCAGCGTTTCTAACAGGAATGGAGTGACAAACAGTTGTATAGGAACAGTGTGTGTTGAAAGGTAAAAATACCTCACAGAGCTAGTTAGCTACAGTGAGGGAAAAAAGTATTTGATCTCCTGCTGATTTTGTACGTTTGCCCACTGACAAAGAAATGATCAGTCTATTATTTTAATAGTAGGTTTATTTGAACAGTGAGAGACAGAATAACAACAAAAAAATCCAGAAAAACGCATGTCAAAAATGTTATAAATTGATTTGCATTTTAAATGAGGGAAATAAGTATTTGAACCCCTCTCAATCAGAAAGATTTCTGGCTCCCAGGTGACTTTTATACAGGTAACGAGCTGAGATTAGGAGCACACTCTTAAAGGGAGTGCTCCTAATCTCAGCTTGTTACCTGTATAAAAGACACCTGTCCACAGAAGCAATCAATCAATCAGATTCCAAACTCTCCACCATGGCCAAGACCAAAGAGCTCTCCAAGGATGTCAGGGACAAGATTGTAGACCTACACAAGGCTGGAATGGGCTACAAGACCATCGCCAAGCAGCTTGGTGAGAAGGTGACAGCAGGTGGTGCGATTATTCGCAAATGGAAGAAACACAAAATAACTGTCTCCCTCGGCCTGGGGCTCCATGCAAGATCTCACCTCGTGGAGTTGCAATGATCATGAGAACGGTGAGGAATCAGCCCAGAAGTACACGGGAGGATCTTGTCAATGATCTCAAGGCAGCTGGGACCATAGTCACCAACAAAACAATTGGTAACACACTACGCCATGAAGGACTGAAATCCTGCAGCGCCCGCAAGGTCCCCCTGCTCAAGAAAGCACATTTACAGGCCCGTCTGAAGTTTGCCAATGAACATCTGAATGATTCAGAGGAGAACTGGGTGAAAGTGTTGTGGTCAGATGAGACCAAAATGGAGCTCTTTGGCATCAACTCAACTCGCCGTGTTTGGAGGAGGAATGCTTCCTATGACCCCAAGAACACCATCCCCACCGTCAAACATGGAGGTGGAAACATTATGCTTTGGGGGTGTTTTTCTGCTAAGGGGACAGGACAACTTCACCGCAACAAAGGGACGATGGACGGGGCCATGTACCATCAAATCTTGGGTGAGAACCTCCTTCCCTCAGCCAGGGCATTGAAAATGGGTCGTGGATGGGTATTCCAGCATGACAATGACCCAAAACACACAGCCAAGGCAACAAAGGAGTGGCTCAAGAAGAAGCACATTAAGGTCCTGGAGTGGCCTAGCCAGTCTCCAGACCTTAATCCCATAGAAAATCTGTGGAGGGAGCTGAAGGTTCGAGTTGCCAAACGTCAGCCTCAAAACCTTAATGACTTGGAGAAGATCTGCAAAGAGGAATGGGACAAAATCCCTCCTGAGATGTGTGCAAACCTGGTGGCCAACTACAATAAATGTCTGACCTCTGTGATTGCCAACTAGGGTTTTGCCACCAAGTACTAAGTCATGTTTTGCAGAGGGGTCAAATACTTATTTCCCTCATTTAAATGCAAATCAATTTATAACATTTTTTACATGCGTTTTTCTGGATGTTTTTGTTGTTATTCTGTCTCTCACTGTTCAAATAAACCTACCATTAAAATTATAGACTCATGTCTTTGTCAGTGGGAAAACGTACAAAATCAGCAGGGGATCAAATACTTTTTTCCCTCACTGTATAAGAACCTGAAGACGTCCTGGCCCAGTTACCCTTCAGTCAGCCACCTTTGCAACGTCGCTAACAACTGTTCTCTTATTCACACATTCCCAAACTCTCACCCACGACTAACAAGTCTGAGGACGTATGTTGAGATCCACAACTCTGAACCTCTGAAGCCGCAAAGTAACAAAGTTGTGGAGCTCCGAGTTCAAACCAGCTGAAATACTCAAATCCCTGTTTGTTCATTTTGTAAATATTATTTCCAGCTAAGAGAAAAAAACATCTATGAAATATTCATGAGCCCAAACTCTGAGCAGAGGAGAGGGGAAGATATCTACGTTCTAGTGCATTATATAATTAATTTGTTTAGCAAACTTATCATCCTTAGCACAACATAAAAAAAAAAATATATAGTTTCCATCCACAAACTCATTACGAAGAGATTGTTTTTTAACTGGGGCAATTGAGGCCATTTGTAATTAGCTGTAGGGGTAGGACAGCTGCTCCCCATTAAAGAGTGAACAGTGAAGCCAACATCCTTCGGGTCACCAGCGGGCTGCTTTAACCACTCGGCTGGTCCTCTGATTGAAGCCTCCCTCTCCCCAGAGCTGCTCCCATCAGCAGAACAGCAGGAAATGGGCCTTCTGCTCTCCAGGGTAGGGCTATTAAAATATAAATCACGTATTTTTTCTGGTTAGTTAGGATGATAACAATGCCCCCATTAAGCCAATCCAACTTCTCAACAGTTATTTTGAGATGGTAGTCCTCTGTAGCTCAGTTGGTAGAGCATGGCACTTGTAATGCCAGGATAGTGGGTTCGATTCCCGGGATCACCCATATGTAAAATGTATGCACGCACGCATGACTAAGCATATACTAAATGGCATATATTATCATTTATATTATTGCTACCATTGATGCTAATGAGCCGGGGCTCTGCGGGAAGCGGCACTAGCACGCCCCAAAATAAACTCAAATTAAAATATGAAAAAATGACCGCTTAATGAAAACATGCTCACATCGTCGACTACAGATGGCCTGCATGAGCGCGTGCATAAACACAGCAGCTCAGGCTCCTGAAAAAATACAAAAGGATAGAAGTTAGGACAACTGAGTCTCAGACAAAAAGGAACAGTTATGCCACCCCCAGGTGCTGCTAAAAAGCCTTCCTTCACACAACTTAATGAGATAAGTGGTTAACTGCTTAATAGACATAAATTTCTGTTAAAAGGCAGCAATGAATACGGCTTCACTATCTAGCAAGCAGGTGTCTATGAAAGGGCACCACCACCTCCCTTGCAGCCCTTGGGCCAGACAAACACAGTGACCTTCTATAAGGTGTATTAGGGAAAATTCAATTAGAGCCTAATGAAGAGCGAGACAATTCCCCCACCATGCGAGCAGCTAAGCCCATTAATTAGCCAAAGCGCAGAGGCATAAGGTAGGCATCAGACAGACTGTCATGAGAATTTCTATCTCTAATTCAACCTAAGCTTGAATCATTACCAGGGGTTGTAAGGCTCTGGTTTTAATCATAAATGATGCAAGGTCCACAACCAGCAAGAATGATCTGTATTTTTATTCATGGAGAGCTCTGGCGCCAAAACCCATACACTCCTGTTTTATACCCCTTGACACACAAAGGCACTTTGCTCCGCCCACCTTTAGGAGGCTTTTTTTAACCCGTTTTCTCAGTCCCCTTCACCCTGGAATGTTTAGTCCCGCCCACCTCTGTTAGTGGGTTGCCACTACATTATAACTAACACCGTTCACACATTTATACTGTATTTGGGGTGAAATCCTTTAGTCATTATTCTTAAAATACAAATTAATCTAACAATCCACCCCTTTGACTAAATGTTTTCACATTCAGAATGAATGTATTTTACAAGCATGATTAATCTCAGAGATTACGTCAGAACTAATAAACATTTCATCCAATTGCGGTCTTTCAGGGTCCAAATCCTCGTCATCCACCAAGCCTGGAGGATCGTTTTTCACATTCCCCTGTTCAGAGTGCGGAGTCAGTCCATCTCTCATCATTGTTTAGATACTGCATTTCACCAACGCCTGACTCACCAATCCTCGGACACAGGAAACAAAACCACAACCACATAATACAAGAATACCCATACAAACACTGACCGCTCCTAAGATGGTGGCTGCTATGGTTTTCCATTTACCAAACATTTAATCAAACCACCCTATCCACGATGTACTAACTTCTGAGTTCTCAGTTCATTCTTCACTTAGTGCAGTTAATTCTGTAAGAGCTCTGGTGACTGTCCCATCCAGTGTGGTGTTGTTAGGGATAAATGTGCAACAATGGCTTATCATTCTATAGACACCGGCCCTTTCTGCCTGATCTAGAACCAACCTCTACTAAGTTATGAGCGGGATGGCGGATAATTGCTCGGAGATCCCCTTTACTGCATCTCTAGTCTGGTTAATAAATCGTTGTTGGTTGTAATAGATATAATTTATCCAATCCACATTCTTGTTTATTGTCACCCACCAGAAAAATGTTGTGGTAAAACCCTCCCATATTTGATTCATAGCTCTGTATTCGTCTGGAACACCCCTGGGGATGCCTATACCATCTATCCAAATTGGGCTATTTCCTTCCTGACCTATATTTCTCCTCCTCCTGATTATTCTTCCTGTCACTGGTCTTTGATGACTAATTCTTACAGGTTTGGACCAACAATACCCACCCATCCTTCTGGTAATGTCTGTCGAATGCTCCCTTTGTTAGTGCATGCCCACCACACATCAGTCAGAGGGATGGTAAGGTTAATAATTTTTCCCCTCCCTTCCTTATCTAAATCAGTCACATTAATTATCTCCTTACAGCCATCAAAATCACCCAAGTTACGGGTGCCATTTCTATGTCTGTAACACTGGTATTCGCCAGGAGTTAAAGTGAATCTAGGTGGGCTGGCCGAGTAAGTCAACTTTGCCAGCCCAATCCCTGTGAAATTGGGCTCTTTTTGATTGGACCCTAGGTCTAATACACAGGGAAACATTGCCTTTGGCATTGGGGCGGTCAACATTGTCGGTCGCCCAATGGAGCATACATAACAATTGGTCTCCCCCAAGGCCCTAGCGGTGTACTTCATCCACTTTAACCAGAGATTCTCATCAGGGACCCCCTCCACTTCCCCTTGGTTCCATTCTTGGAGGAGAAAATCTTTCACAGTGGACGGGTTAGTCGAATTGACTCCGTCATCCCTTGACTGATCTACTCGGTCTATTGCTATTAATGGATTAATGACAGTACCTGTGCCCTCCATATCTTTTGACTCCCTCAAATGTAATCTTAGACAAGTATCCCATCCGTATTCGTCCGCGCAAGTCCAGTAAGTTCTTTTCATGTCCTCTTTAGTGACCTTTACTATTGTTACTACCATCTCCGAGGGGATGTCGTTATACCTTCTTATCCTCCATCTGGACGTCCAGCACCCCCCCCCCCCCCCCCCCCCCCCCCCCCGTCTCATATCTCCGTCCCCCAGTATGTCTAAATACCTGAGCCCAGGAACAATCCGCAGAGGGAGCTGAACATAAATACAATGGGATCTTATAATCCCACGTTGCTTGCTTATTTGCCCTGATAAGATCCCTAATCCTAATTTTGAATCTTACTCCCCACCCTTCTCTTGACTCCTATTTTGTAGATCACTCGCCCTTGACGGTCAGTATGTCGGGTCGCTTCCCTTTTATTTCTTAATAATGGTAAGGCCATAGCGTAATTGGTGCGAGGTGGTGGTGGATCTTGACATACCAAGACTATTGCCGAGACTATGATGCAGCTCAGGGTCACCCATATTCCCAAAAACCGCCAACCCTCTCCTGCCTTTAGTCCTTCTGCTTGGTACCACCCCATACTCACACCCTTAGAACACACTACAGTGATGATAGGTCGGGGTAGGAGATCTTCGTTAACAGAGGTGATCCCCGGACCTTATTGGTTCAGTTCTTCTCTCCAACTCTGTGTCTGTTCAGTGGTGCTTGTATGTGGTCTTACCCTCTTGCAGTGGGTAACATGGACCCAGGTTACTCTCTCTGCTATTCTAATGGCAAAGGCAGTGACCAATATAACCTGATAGGGCCCTTCCCAACAGGCCTGCTTCCAGTTTTTCTTCTTTAGGGACTGGATGCTCACCAGTCACCTGGTTAGATAGAGTGGGTCACCTTCTCCTTTAGTTCACCTGTGGGGTACAAAACCTCTGACATACGGGTGTGGTTAATAAACTATCTTCACACATGTTCAGATTAATCTAACAATTTCTGACTGCATTCTCTTTCTAGACTGTATCTAAAAAAAATGTTTTCTTTCTTTCCTCTCCTTCGTATATTATTTAATCCTATCATTAGCCTCTTCCCCCCTCTTGACACATAGTTCTGCTCATGTGTCAATATTACCACCTACCTAAACAATCACTTAGGTAATTTATCAACCAATTGCCATGCCTTTCATTTTTGAGACTGTCTTTTGCTTCTTTATTGCTCCTCACACTTCCTTTGTCTTTTATGGCGGCTAAATTCGACTTTCATTCAGTTCAGAATCAATTAGTAATCCAATCAATCAATCTCTTATCTTGTAAAAACACTTATGTTTAGTTCAAACTCTGTTTTACCCCGGCTCTCCCGGGCTTGACCTGAAGACTGATTGTTGGACATGACAAGTCCATATTTAAATAATCCAAACCTAACACAACCCCCCCTCCTGCTGTAATCAATCAAGAAGATAGCAAAGGAGAGACAGGTTTTAGCCTGAACTCTGCTTAATCCTGCCGATGTGCCCCCGAGCAAGGCACCCAACCCCCACTGCTCCTGCAAGTCGCTCCGGACCAGAGCGTCTGCCAAATGACCAAAAATGCAAATGTAAATATTCTCTACTTTCTCACTCATGACGTACATCTACGTTTGGGTGAGAAAGTTCATACGTATATATCGTTGGAAATGTATAGGTACCTCTCAAATAATCGCTTCGTGGTGTTTTTAGCCAATTCTTAATCGACACGAATCATTTCTTCAAACATTTTACCCGTTGAACCAAAAAATAGACTGTCCTATCTCCGACACTGCCCTTTCCTTTACCCCTGCAGTCACGATGGTTATGACCTGTTCTGTTACAGTATTTACACGGGGCCTTACACTCCCTTGCCAAATATTCCTCTTTGTTACAGTTAAAGCACTTCCTCTCTCCTTCGCGCTTCCAAAATACCCTCGCTGTCTCTAGCCCCTCCCCTCGCTGTTTCTTCAAATCCGTTCCACAGTTTACATGCATCTGCTTAATCATAACTTCTAACTTTTCCACATCGAGATGCCCAATAAATCCATACCTCTTCTCCCAAATGGATCCATAAAACATATTTCTTCGATCTCTTCCTAACATATATCTTTCATCCCCCGTTAATTCTCGGACCTCTTTAGAATATTTTTTTCCCAAGGTGGAAAAATAAGAAATCCCCCCCGTTTAGTAATAATTCAATCCAGAATTATTTTCCTAGGAGTTATTATTAGATGCGTCTCTTGAGCCAATGTTATGATCTGCTTTTGTAATTAACCATTTAAATTATCTAACCCAGAGTTTTTTTTTTTTACTCCGGTTTCATGAAAGGGGTCAGATAACCATTTTTTCTCACGCGATCTATTTCGTCCCTCCTTGAAACAATTATCACGTATTTCGATGAATCATTAAGTCTCACACGTACACAACATTTTATGATTTATTTCTAACACTATCCGTAACCTAGAGGTCGTAACTGCTCCAGTTTCATGAAATAGACAGAGTTAGAGCAAATCCCCAGTTGTCTATGCGACTTTTGACTTATCTATCTTACACGATGATAATTATCTCCCTTCCTGTTTATATTGTAAAGACTGTATCTCGTACAATCTCAATATTAACTAGATTATTTTGGTAATAGCTATTTACATAGGGTCAATTCCAGACCCCCCTTCCTCCATTATAATAATTATTATTTCCTTTGAGATTTTGGTAACTATTCTCTGCCCTTCACAATAATTACTATTCTTATACAAGTTCAAATAATTACACCAAAATCCATGAATAAAAATTACTGACCCTTTCCTTGCAGTTTGGATTTAAATGCTTTTTCAAACTCGTTAACATCTTTATGACACTGCTGGTCCATAAGATTAATCACCGGCCTGTTTATAACCTTAACGTCGAAGGCCAGGACTATTCTTCACGGATGCAATCACCCGCCCGTGCACGGTTTCGGTGTCCTTAGAACGACAAAGACGTATTTTAAGATCCGGCTCGAAGGACCACTTGTCATGAGAATTTCTATCTCTAATTCAACCTAAGCTTGAATCATTACCAGGGGTTGTAAGGCTCTGGTTTTAATCATAAATGATTCAAGGTCCACAACCAGCAATAATTATCTGTATTTTTATTCATGGAGAGCTCTGGCGCCAAAACCCATACACTCCTGTTTTATACCCCTTGACACACAAAGGCACTTTGCTCCACCCACCTTTAGGAGGCTTTTTTTAACCCGTTTTCTCAGTCCCCTTCACCCTGGAATGTTTAGTCCCGTCCCCCTCTGTTAGTGGGTTGCCACTACATTATAACTCTAACACCGTTCACACATTTATACTGTATTTGGGGTGAAATCCTTTAGTCATTATTCTTAAAATACAAATTAATCTAACACAGACAGGCAAAGGGGTTTTAATAATGCAAGGCTGGCCATCTTCAGGGCATCTCTACCTCACCGTGGCGGCGGTGCCGGCCACACTCACAGTGTGATTATTGCACATGCAGCCTGGCCTGATTATCACTCATCACAAAGCATGGCTGTGCACTGCCAATTAGCTCTCTGTTCTCTCCATCACCTCTCTGGCCTCTCTATCTATAGTATCCTTATCTATAGACTCTTACTATTGTCGTTCTATCTTTAAGGTCCATCACCTCCCCTTGCAGTCAGTCTTTTTTCAACTCTGATGCAATCCTCCATCTCTCTGGGGGGAGAGAGAGACATACGGCAGAAGCGGACGATGAAGTAGATTCTGAATCCAATGATGGTAGAATCAAGGAGAATTTGAGTATTGTTCAAAAGAATGTAAAACGGAGCAAAGTACTGTACAGTGATGAGAATGACCCTTCGTATCTAGTAAGTAAGCTTGGCGTCGGGTAAGTTTGGCTTTATACATAGCTTGGGCTTTGTCGAGTAAGGCTTAAACTATGTATTTAGATTGTAGTTAGGTATTGTAGGTAGGTATCGTGGGTTGTTGTGGGTAGTTGTTGTATGTAATTATTGTAGGTTAGTATTGTATTTGGCGGTGCCGGGTGTAGCACGAAGCTAGCTAGCTAGCTAACTCACCACCTGGACTAGCTGGCGAGTAGCTATTAGCAACGGTATAGTTGTTTCACGCCTGAGAGTGCCTGTAATTACGCCAGCTGGCTGCCTACAATAATTACATACAATAACTGCCTACCATTCAGCTGTTTTCTAACCTCATTGTCTGAACCGTTAACGTTAGGTAGCAAGTGGCTACTGTGCTTGAAAATTAGCAAGCTTGTTGCAACCTGGATAGCTACTTGTAAACAATAGCTGGAACGACCGAGCGAACAGACGCGAACTGGCTGAGTCAATTCAGTGGCTGGCTTTGCACTTTGCTAGCTAACAGTAGCTGCTAGGGGTAAGTCATAACCTACACTTGTGTTTTGTTTTTTACATATTGATAGCCCGAGTCGCTCAAGGAATTCGGGACATGGGTGACTAGTTAACGTTAGTTTGGCTCTCTCTGTGTGTTCGTGCCGTGAAAGGAGGGGTTCTTCTTTGTCTGAAAGCAATGGCTAGCTAGTTTGCTAACTATTCTAGCTAACTAACTGGCTGAATAAGTTGACGACGGACTCGCTCAAGCTGTCGGGACTAACCCACAACGTTAGACACAGACACGAACGATCTGCTTGTGTGTTGATACACTGGTGGTTGTTGTGGCTGAGTATTGGCGCTAAACCCTGCTGCTGGAGACCGGCATGCTAGCTGGCTGTGGCGTCTTATGACGAGGTGCCCGGACGTTTTTCACGGAATAATACTGCACCTAGTTAGCTAGCTGAATAAACTAGGTTAGTCTATTCCTAGAAAACATTGAACCGCTGTAGTTTACAACAATTATAGTTTCTGAGGTGGAAGTTGGGAGAGTTATATTTGGGAGTTGTGGTGAGGGAGGCCCCGCTCTCTCCTTTCCCAGATGTTTAGTTCATTTTATTCCGATCTCCTCTACATTATTGTAGCCATCTGCTGCAGCCTGTCAACTATGCCTCTGCCTATCCCTGTTCTCTCCTCTCCGCACAGGCTACACAAACGCCTCACACTGCGTGGCTGCTGCCTCTCTAACCTGGTGGTCCCTGCACGCACGACCCACGTGGAGTTCCAGGTCTCAGGCAGCCTCTGGAACTGCCGTTCTGCTGCCAACAAGGCAGACTTCATCCCAGCCTATGCTACCCTCCAGTCCCTCAACTTCTTGGCGCTGACGGAAACATGGATTACCACTGAAAACACTGCTACTCCTGCTGCTCTCTCCTCGTCTGACCATGTGTTCTCGCATACCCCGAGAGCATCTGGTCAGCGGGGTGGTGGCACAGGAATCCTCATCTCTCCCAAGTGGACATTCTCAATTTTTCCCCTGACCCATCTGTCTATCTCCTCATTTGAATTCCATGCTGTCACAGTCACTAGCCCATTTAAGCTTAATATCCTTGTCATCTATCGCCCTCCAGGTTCCCTTGGAGAGTTCATCAATGAGCTTGACGCCTTGATAAGTTCCTTTCCTGAGGATGGCTCACCCCTCACAGTTCTGGGGGATTTCAACCTCCCTACGTCTACATTTGACTCATTTCTCTCTGCCTCCTTCTTTCCACTCCTCTCCTCTTTTGACCTCACCCTCTCACCGTCCCCCCCCTACTCACAAGGCAGGCAATACGCTTGACCTCATCTTTACTAGATGCTGTTCTTCTACTAATCTCACTGCAACTCCCCTCCAAGTCTCCGACCACTACTTTGTATCCTTTTCTCTCTCCCTCTCCTCCAACACTACTCACTCTGCCCCTACACAGATGGTAATGCGCCGTCGCAACCTTCGCTCTCTCTCTCCCGCTACTCTCCCCTCTTCCATCCTATCATCTCTTCCCTCTGCTCAATCCTTCTCCCTCCAATCTCCTGATTCTGCCTCCTCAACCCTCCTCTCCTCCCTTTCTGCATCCTTTGACTCTCTATGTCCCCTATCCTCCCGGCCGGCTCGGTCCTCCCCTCCAGCTCCGTGGCTTGATGACTCATTGCGAGCTCACAGAACAGAGCTCCGGGCAGCTGAGCGGAAATGGAAGAAAACTAGACTCCCTGCAGACCTGGCATCTTTTCAATCCCTCCTCTCTACATTTTCTTTATCTGTTTCTGCTGCTAAGGCCACTTTCTACCACTCTAAATTCCAAGCATCCGCCTCTAACCCTAGGAAGCTCTTTGCCACATTCTCCTCCCTGCTGAATCCCCCCCCCCCCCTCCTCCCTCTCTGTGGATGACTTCGTCAACCATTTTGAAAAGAAGGTTGACGACATCCGATCCTCGTTTGTTAAGTCAAATGACACTGCTGGTCCTGCTCACACTGCCCTACCCTATGCTTTGACTTCTTTCTCCCCTCTCTCTCCAGATAAAATCTTGCGACTTGTGACTGCAGGCCGCCCAACAACCTGCCCGCTTGACCCTATCCCCTCCTCTCTTCTCCAGACCATCTCCGGTGACCTTCTCCCCTACCTCACCTCGCTGATCAACTCATCCTTGACCGCTGGCTATGTCCCTTCCGTCTTCAAGAGAGCGAGAGTTGCACCCCTTCTCAAAAAACCAACACTCGATCCCTCTGATGTCAACAACTACAGACCAGTATCCCTTCTTTCTTTTCTTTCCAAAACTATTGAGCGTGCCGTCTTTAGCCAACTCTCTTGCTATCGCTCTCAGAATGACCTTCTTGATCCAAACCAGTCAGGTTTCAGGACTGGTCATTCAACTGAGACTGCTCTTCTCTGTGTCACGGAGGCTCTCCGCACTGCTAAAGCTAACTCTCTCTCCTCTGCTCTTGTCCTTCTAGACCTGTCTGCTGCCTTTAATACTGTGAACCATCAGATTCTCCTCTCCACCCTCTTCGAGCTGGGCATCTCCGGCGCGGCTCACTCTTGGATTGCGTCCTACCTGACCGGTCGCTCCTACCAAGTGGCGTGGCGAGAAGCTGTCTCCGCACCACGTGCTCTCACCACTGGTGTCCCCCAGGGCTCAGTTCTAGGCCCTCTCCTATTCTCGCTATACACCAAGTCACTTGGCTCTGTCATATCCTCACATGGCCTCTCCTATCATTGCTACGCTGACGATACACAACTAATCTTCTCCTTTCCCCCTTCTGATAACCAGGTGGCTAATCGCATCTCTGCATGTCTGGCAGACATATCAGTATGGATGACGGATCACCACCTCAAGCTGAACCTTGGCAAGACGGAGCTGCTCTTCCTCCAAGGGGAAGGACTGCCCGTTCCATGATCTCGCCATCACGGTTGACAACTCCGTTGTGTCCTCCTCCCAGAGTGCGAAGAGCCTTGGCGTGACCCTGGACAACACCCTGTCGTTCTCCGCTAACATCAAGGCGGTGACCCGATCCTGTAGGTTCATGCTCTACAACATTCGGAGAGTACGACCCTGCCTTACACAGGAAGCGGCACAGGTCCTAATCCAGGCACTTGTCATCTCCCGTCTGGATTACTGCAACTCGCTGTTGGCTGGGCTCCCTGCCTGTGCCATTAAACCCCTACAACTCATCCAGAATGCCGCAGCCCGTCTGGTGTTCAACCTTCCCAAGTTCTCTCACGTCACCCCGCTCCTCCGCACACTCCACTGGCTTCCAGTTGAAGCTCGCATCTGTTACAAGACCATGGTGCTTGCCTATGGAGCTGTGAGGGGAACGGCACCTCTGTACCTTCAGGCTCTGATCAGTCCCTACACCCAAACGAGGGCATTGCGTTCATCCACCTCTGGCCTGCTGGCTCCCCTTCCTCTGCGAAAGCATAGTTCCCGCTCAGCCCAGTCAAAACTGTTCGCTGCTCTGGCACCCCAATGGTGGAACAAGCTCCCTCACGACGCCAGGACAGCGGAGTCACTCACCACCTTCCGGAGACATTTGAAACCCCACCTCTTTAAGGAATACCTGGGATAGGATTAAGTAATCCTTCTACCCCCCCCAAAAATTTTTTTATTAAAAAGATAATTAAAAAAGAAAAAGAAAAAAATAAATTAAAAATTAAAAAACAAAAAAAACAACTATTGTAAAGTGGTTATCCCACTGTCTCTGGCAGAGGGCACACAAACATTATAAAACCTCCCCTTAAATGATGATTAGAAGTGGGAGCCGGGCACGCCAGGGTTTAAGTCATCAGATGACACAGCAGCAGTCGTGTTGCGTCGGGGGAGAGAAACAAGTTCACAACGACGCCCCTGAGCCTTTTTTAGGGTTGGTTATGACTGATGGTGACACAGATAAGATGATAGGATGTTGACAGAACAGGAATGCCACAGAGCAATATGGAGGCCATCTCAGTGTCATCTTCCCAGACATGTGTTAGTGCAGGTTAGACAGTGTTCCTACCGACTTCCTAAACACACCGTCTGTGGAGCAGGGAGATGGGAGGTGGATGCTGCTAGACTGTGTACACTGCTGTTGATTAGATAGGGAGTTTAGATGTAATGTACTATTATCACAACGCAGAAGGGAATGTCCTGTACTGTCTCAGCCACAACAACCCTGATTTTACTGCTAGATAAATGTCCTGAATTACATCTTACACTGAAGATTGTTTCTAGCTAGGCTCCATACTTACTTCTACCTTCAGCAAGTCAATACCTCAGCAAGTCAATATTTAGGAAATAACATTCTGGGTTTAAAAAAAGCTAATACTCTAAATGCAATAGTGCAGGGAAAACCTGTTGATATCATCCTGCTGTTCTAAGACAGAAAGCTACAACTATGGTATCAGGTGCTCTGGCTCGATTGACAGAAAGCAATGACAAGTGATTGAGTGTCAGTGGTGTGGAGAACGGGCGAGAAAGAGTAAAAATAAAGGATGACGACAGGAAGAGAGAGATGCATGTGTCAGGGTGGGGGGTCTGATGCATTGCAGCCGTTCACTCAATTGTTCCCATCAGGGGCCCGAGGAGCAAGTAATTGAACGATCAATCTGCCAATGACAGGCCTCGATCACAGAGCGCCTCACGGCGAGGGCCGCGGTCTCGCTGCAGTCCTGCCGAGATGGATGGGGCTCCATCAATGATGATGGAAACACCTGGCGCCGCGTTTTCAAGCAATCCCCAATAAAATAAAGCCCTATTTAGACAAAGAGGACCATTTTAGTGGTATAGTGAGTCCCGGTATGAGCTCATGCTGTGGCACTGAAGCCCCATGTCAGACTGGAAATGGATCCGATGTGGTGTAAACAGGGAGGAGATGGAACAATCTGGATGGATTAAATCAATTAGGGTGAAATCTCCATGAAAATGGCTTGTGGGAGAAGGCCAGTGCGGGCCATCAGTCAAACAGCTGCCTGACAGCATCCCCCATATGAGACTATAGTGTGGCAGCCTGGTGGGCATGTCAACCTGTAGAAAAGCGAGGCCCACCTTTCTGACAGGAGCTGCGAGGGATGAGTTTAAAACGTGAAATTGTGGGAGAAAATGGAAACCCTGAGCACAATCTGAAGGGCTTTGCTGATCTGATCCCAACAAAAGCAGAACATGATGATGCAATATGGGACAGGGGAAGAGATGAGCTGATCTACCCCACACAGACCGATGACTGTGTACAAAGCCCTCAGCGCTGTCTGGCATCCTCCCTGTATGGCCCTGACAACCCACTAGACAACTTCCTGCATAGGCTGACAGGCAGAACAACTTCCTATGCGGAGCCCTGTTCTGTCTGTCTGCTGCACCGTGAAATCACTTCTGCTCAGTGACCAACGCTGCATGAAAACGGTAGGCACGGAGCTCAAGCACACAGGGCTCTAATGCCACCCTGCAGGTTGTCAGAGACCAAAGGACCTGGCAATTTTTTATTTTATGCATTCCTGAGGTGACTGACATTAGCACAGCCATTCCACCGCAGTACCAGTCCCCTTCCACCTCCTCAGGTGTCCACCAAACTGGGTGTCCAGGAGGGAGAGGGGAAGGGGATGAAGAGTGAAAACAGAGCCCCTCCCTAAGGGTGGGGAGAGGAAACAGATGGAAAACAAGAGAGCAGGTGTCGCTCGCACGCTATCTGTGACTCAGACCTCACGCCTGAGCTGCTCCATGAAATCAGAGTTGCCCACAAGACAGACCTGGCAACAAGGTGAATGTGGGCGGAAAAGAGAGGAAGAGAGGGCGAGACAGCAAGGTTTAACAGTCACAGAGAGAGCGAGAAAGAGAGACGGAGAGAGAGAAGGGAGACGAATGTTACAGAGGGTGGGAGAAGTGGGCAAAGAGGGGACTGTCTGTGTATCCCCTATTCATGAGTTTATGCTCTCTGCACACCTATACTCAAAATGAAGACGTCGTGATGGGGCGAGGGAACGGTTTGATACAGAGAACATACGCTGAATGGAAGTTATCCTGAAAAGTCCAACAACAAAAGAATGACTTTGCAGTGACTTACTGAAGTGGAAGAAAAAGGTTTTGGTTGAATAATGCGAAATGAAGTTGACAGAAAACAAATAGAAATGATCAAAACATTGCTTGTGACACAAAAAGCTGAAAACATATAGTCTAGATGACGCAGCAGTTTGTTGTGTACTGCTATAATTACATGATACAGTGCCTTCGGAAAGTATTCAGACCCCTTGACCTTTTCCACATTTTGTTACATTACAGCCTTATTCTAAAATTGATTAAATATTACTTTTTTTCAGCAATCTACACACAATATCCCATAATGACAAAGCGAAAACAGGTTATCAATTTTAGCAAATGTATTAAAAATAAAAAACAGAAATACCTTATTTACGTAAGTATTCAGACCCTTTCCTATGAGACTCGAAATTGATTTCAGATGCATCCTGTTTCCATTGATCATCCTTGAGATGTTTCTACAACTTGATTGGAGTACACCTGTGGTAAATTCAATTGTTTGAACATGATTTGGAAAGGCACACACCTGTCTATATAAGGTCCCACAGTTGACAGTGCATGTCAGAGCAAAAACAAAGTCATGAGGTCGAAGGAATTGTCCGTAGAGCTCCAAGACAGGATTGTGTCGAGGCACAGATCTGGGGAAGGGTACCAAAAAATGTCTGCATCATTGAAGGTCCAAGAACACAGTGGCCTCCATCATTCTTAAATGGAAGAAGTTTGGAACCACCAAGAATCTTTCTAGAGCTGGTTACCCGGCAAACTGAGCAATCGGGGGAGAAGGATCTTGGTCAGGGAGGTGACCAAGAACTTGATGGTCACTCTGACAGAGCTCTAGAGTTCCCCTGTGGAGATGGGAGAACCTCCCAGAAGGACAACCATCTCTGCAGCACTCCACCAAATCAGGCCTTTATGGTAGAGTGGCCAGACAGAAGGCACTCCTCAGTAAAAGGCACGACAGCATGCTTGGAGTTTGCCAAAAGGCACCTAAAGACTCTCAGACCATGAGAAACAAGATTACCTGGCACCATCCCAACAGTGAAGCACGGTGGTGGCAGCATCATGCTGTGGGGATGTTTTTCAGCGGCAGTGACTGGGAGACTAGTCAGGATCGAGGCAAAGATGAACAGAGCAAAGTACAGAGAGATCATTGATGAAAATCTGCTCCAGAGCACTCAGGTCTTCAGACTGGGGCGAAGGTTCACCTTCCAACAGAACAACGACCCTAAGCACACAGCCAAGACAACGCAGCAGTGGCTTTGGGACAAGTCTCTGAATGTCCTTGAGTGGCCCAGCCAGAGCCAGGACTTGAACATCTCTGGAGAGATCTGAAAATCGTTGTGCAGCAACGCTCCCCATCCAACCTGACAGAGCTTGAGAGGATCTGCAGAGAGGAATGGGAGAAACTCCCCAATTGCAGGTGTGCCAAGCCTAAGGCACTGTATGTACACCAGGGTGTAATTACCATAGCTACAAGTATGTTGATGATTAAACAAACACATACCTACCATGTGTTTCATCAAAAGTACTACATTGTTTTCCTTATTTCCTATAACCAGCAAAGCCCATTGTAACCAAACCAGACCTAAAAAATTTGCATTCATCCAAATAACAAATTTGAATTACCACAGGCTACCTAGCTACCACACAAGATATGAAAGAAGGGAAAGGCTAATCACCACCAACTAACTAAAAATCAAGTGGTTCTCTTTCAAATACTTGTTTTGAATTGCTATGGGGATTCGCTCCAGGCGCATCACTATACGAAGAACACAACGTCTGTCGGAGACAAACCGGTTCACTGACGAATGAAGTGAGCCTCTCCCTCTTTATAAGGCGCCACTCGCCCGTCCTCTGGTCATTCTCACCTCTCTTCCTTGCAGAAGATCACTACGGCTCCTAAAGCTCTCAGCACGACTAGAATCCTGTCTTCTTACTTAACTGTTCTCAGGCGAACCAAAGTTAACCTGGTTAAATAAAGGTTAAATAAAAATAAAAATAGAAAATGTGAGTCTGGAAGTTGAGTTTACAGTCTAACCAGACACCTAGGTATTTGTAGTTGTCCACATACTCTAGGTCAGACCTCTCCAAGAGTAGTGATTCTAGTCTGCTGGTGCAAGCAGCGTTCGGTTGAAGAGCATGCATTTAGTTTTACTAGTGTTTAAGAGCAGTTGGAGGCTACGGAAGGAGTGTTGTATGGCGTTGAAGCTCGTTTGGAGGTTTGTTAACACAGTGTCCAATGAAGGGCCAGATGTATAAAAAATGGTGTCGTCCGGCATAGAGGTGGATCTGAGCGTCACCAGCAGCAAGAGCGACATCATTGATATAGACAGAGAATAGAGTCGGCCCGAGAATTGAACCCCGTGGCACCCCCATATAGACGGCCAGAGGTCCAGACAACAGGCCCTCCGATTTGACACATTGAACTCTATCTGAGAAGTAGTTGGTGAACCAGGCGAAGCAGTCATTAGAGAAACCAAGGCTATTTAGTCTGCCAATAAGAATGCGGTGGTTGACAGTCGAAAGCCTTGGCCAGGTCGATGAAGACGGCTGCGCAGTACTGTCTTTTATCGATTGCGGTTATAATATTGTTTAGGACCTTGAGCGTGGCTGAGGTGCACCCATGACCAGCTCGGAAACCGGATTGCATAGCGGAGAAGGTACGGTGGGATTCGAAATGGTCGGTGATCTGTTTGTTAACTTGGCTATATCATGAATTTATGAGTCCAAAAATGGATGCAGCAACTGCTGATTGTCCCTTTAATTAAACAGACCGGATTAGCCTCACAGCTCCATGGTGGTGGGAGAATACCACCCTGAACTCGAACCATGCCACCACGCGGTTCCCATAGGCTAGCAGTGTACTAAATACATTTTCTACCTGGAAAGGTAATTGCTAGCTCTCTCGTCGAAAGACCAAGAAAGCACACACTTTCTCCGGCTACCTTTGTGCTAGCTAGCTAAGCTATTAGCCAACAAAGCGAATGCTCAAGACTTTCTTAGCCCACGCTGCAAGTTTTAAGCTAAACTTGGCTAGCTCTCTGGAAAGCAAGCTAACCACACTAGCATTCCTTCCTGCACTTTTTGCCCAAGGAATACTATTCTCATAGCCATGGAGCCTGCTGCCCCTGCAGTGTCGTGACATGACTAACATTAATCTGAAGACTGTTCTCTAATTAACTAACTATGTTTAATTGTTACCTGTTATTTACTAGCTAATTAAAAGGGAACACAGGATAAACATACACACACTGCACCGGTTATTGATTGGAGAAAACAGATCCCTAGCGGAATGACAACATGGCTGCTTGTCAACAAGAAGAGGTGGGGAGAGAGAGAGAGAGAGAGAGAGGGACAGAGATAATACTTCGATACATTCAGAAACTGCGCTCACCTAGAGTACCCATATACTTTGCACACGAACCGCCATCCTCTGAGTAAGAAATCATGAATGTATTTACTTGAAATGTCTGGTTCGCCGTGTATCTCTCGGTGGACCGCCCTGGATAGGGAGTTGGGCCTTCTCGTGGCCCGCTTGTAAGGCTCTGATCGTCCAAAAAGTATTCTACTGTTGTTCTCTGGTATACGGTGACTTGTCATGTAGTCCTGAACAGAACTACAGAATGGATTTTCCTTCCATTCGCTCTTGAAGTTGCTTCTTTGAAGATAGGCTAGCCAGCCGTATCGATGGTCCCCAGTGGGGTGATGAGAGTAGCGTAACACGATGTCTTGAGCAGAGTAACAGAGGATGGTGCTACTTAAATTCGCTTTCGAAGATACTTTACTTAGGACAGCTAATCAGCCGTACCAATGATTGTCCGGAAAGGTGAGTTTATTATCTCCAACTCGTGTTGAGATTTCAAAGTTCCAACAATTTTAAACATGTAGCTGCCGCTTTCACGTTTTCTAGTATGATATGTTAATTCATAACCCATCCTTTTATACGCTCTGCTCGAAAGGGCCAGTTCCGTCAGGCTGACACGCTCTCTGACCTCACTCGGGGGCATGACTACTTACTGTGCAAAGCTCTTATAGCGTTCTCAAATCACATCCCTATCTTAACAAAAATACTTTCATCATGTTTCATGTTACATGCACAAGGTAGGATGGAAACTTCCTTTATAACATTTGACATCACAAAATAACAACCCAATTGACATTATTGTTCTATAGATCGCCTCTGACCATTTCCCACGTTAGAAATATTGTTACAGTATTCGTTTTAGAATGTGTTAGAGTTTCGGCAGGAAAAGTCTGTGGAAACAAAGGCACATTCCTCTGGTGAACATTGGCGAGGGAGACCTGAATCTTCTCTCCTTGATTTACAACAGGGCGTGAGGTGTCAACCGCCCACCAGTTTCCTACTCCCCCCTCTTCGAGTCAGAGGGGGTCTGGTTGAAGTTATTCATTGCAAACTTGATCTGACCTATTTGGATCCTCACAGGACAGTCATGACAACAGGGAGAACCGGGCAGGGCTCCTGCCCCAGCACTGGCACACCTGTGTCCATGCGGGGCTACGATAGCAGGAAAGGATACACACTCTTGGTGTATTGCCTGCTTGGGGCCTGAGCACGCTAAGGCAGAACTCGCTAACACTGAGTCTTGCGTGCACTGTAGGGACTTTCCCCTCGACCGCACAGACTGAGACTGCGCAGAGCAGCCCCTCTGTGAGACTTGTCTTCCTCACAGTCTGCGGGCGAGGAGGCTACCCTAAAACCAACCCACCTGGGCCGAGGTGATGGATGGGTACCTGGAGGACTTCCACCCGCTGTTTCAAGAAGAGGAGTAGGAAGACAATGCTCAAGCCCACGGCTCGAAGCCCTCTTCTGTCCAGTGGAGCATCATTGCCCAATGAGAAATGTGGACTTATTGTCTGCAAATGGGCGGCGGGGTCAGGCTCGGTATCGAGTAGCCCGCACCCGTAAGGGCTGGTAGCGCCGAAAAGGACTGGTTCGATGGGAGGAGACTCCCTTCTTGCCACTCCTCCAAGCGGTCCGAGCTTTCATGGCGGAAGCCAAACGCAACTGGGACAAACCTTTGTCCAGCAAAGTCCTCGCCGCAAGAGCAGGGAACTGGCATTCATGTGCAGCCCGACCATGTGTCTTGTCCAGAGTTACAAAGGGGTACAAGACTGCAGTTATGCTGTTGGGACTACCCTGGCTTCGGAGAGCATGTCTGCGATATGAGAGTTGGCCATTTACCCATAGTGATACATCGAAACAAGTATTTAAAAAGATAACTCAAGTATACTTTTGTAACCCCGGTTCTCTGATAATATGAGTGAGATGTATCACCGCATCGAAGAGAGCAAAAAGAGAGGCATGCCTCAGATGAACCAGAAGACAGGCGAATAGCGCCTTATAAGGAGGGAGGGGCTTACCTCATTGGCCACTCGACCCATCTGTCTCTGACAGACGTATGATTGGTCCTTCATGTAGTGATCCACCTGGAGCAAATACCCGTAGTGATACATCTCACTCATATTATCAAAAGAACCAGGGTTACCAAAGTAACCTTGAGTTTCACTTGGTGGTGGTAGGAGGTCTAGAGAGAAGGCCATGGCCTCACTGCTGCAAATGAATCACCCAGGGCTGGCACAGGAGCTGGCTTGATTATAGGACTGAATATGAATCAGACCCTGGACGGCATTAGCATAATCATTTGTTAATTTTCCCTGAGCAAATATGACTCCTCCACAGCACTATGCCAGAAGGAGCCATACAGTACAGTGTGTGGTCAAGCAGCATTATATGCTTTGTGCAACCCCACATTTAAAAAAGTCTATAGTATGTGACCTATAGCCTTTACAGTCTTTGTACTTTACCAAAGACACTGTGCACTGCAGTGTGCAGATCACATTATAGCCTGAACTATTCCTGCTCCCCTTTAACAAAGTCATGCTCAGTATTCTATCTAGTCAGAAAGTGCATTATTAAATATTCCAGGAGAAAGTTTGGGCAGGAAATTATGCCACACAGGGATTTTAACCCATATGATTAATCTCCCCCCTCCCATAAATATTGCACTTCTCCTCTGATTCATTAAGTAGGAGTTCAGATTCTTCCATTGACTCCATAATTCAAACTGATTAAACTGTGTGGGAGAATACAAACCCACAGACACTGGTAGGATTCCTCTTAACCAGGCCTACTCAAATCTAGTCTTCAATGTCCACAGTTAGCAGCACTGATGGTTTTAATTTATCCCAACTAACCAGGGGCTGATTCAAACCTGTGACACTCAGTGATTGTACCCCTCAATGACAAAGCCAGGGTCTGTGTAAGATTGAGTAATTTGTGGCCTGTGTGGTCCAGCGGTTAGAGCCACTGACACTGGCACACAATTAATAAAAAGATTACAAGTAATGTCAATTAATGTAATATTTGAAGAATTAAACTTATAAAAACATTAAGCGGACAAGTGAGGACCCTCACCTCATTCCATCTCTTTGCTCCTACCTTAAAGACGCTGAACAATGAATTCCTAAAAGCAGAGATGGTCAACACATCTGTCAATGAGGCTAGGGTGGCGGTGGCAGGGGAAGCTAATTAAAGATGAATTAAACATTGTGTGATGAAGTCTGGGTGGAGGCTGACAGGGGCTTGGAAGAGAAGAGCTCAGCTGCTGATGGAGACTCCAGAGCTGCAGTCTGAGCCTCATTAATAAATGACCACGGGACAGCCCTTGCAAACAGCCGACACACTAGTAAACAAATGAGTCACTTGTACACTGAGGGAGCATTTGTGTGCGTTAGTTTGTGCATGTTTCGTTTGTGTGTGTGTGAATGTGTGTGTGTGTTGAGGTCTCAGTCCTTGCATGCCGGTGCCTGTGAGTAAGTCAGCACAGTGTGTGCTTGTGTGTTTGTGCCGGTGTGTGTATATATTTGTGCCTCCATGCGTATCTCAGTGTACCTTTGTCGCTGAAGTCGTCCACCAGTATGACCTCAGCGATGAGCTCAGGGGGCGAGCGGTTGAGCACGCTGTGTACTGTCCTGAGCAGGGATGACCAACCCTCGTTGTGGAATGGGATGATGATGCTGGTGTTGGGCAACTTCACCCCATACAGCTTCTGTTTACAGCTAAACACACACAAACAGGCAAATAAAATTAACAAAGCAACAAACAGCAATAGCCAAAAAGCAAATAGAGAGACTACTGAGGGGCAGTAAAGTGTGTTCATAAAGTGTGAGTGCTGATCTAGGATCAGTTTTGGCTTTTAAGATCATAGTGAATAACATCGTAGATCACTCAGTGTGAGACTATTTATGACTACAGGACCTGGTGTTGCACAAAAGTTATCTTCTGGAGAGACCAACAATACTTTAGTATTATCATGTAGGCCTAGTATTCATGACCCACAATTGTAATCGGACGCAATAATACACAGTAATGATATGATATTGCAATATTAGGCTATATAATATGAAAACTATATTGAAGTAATCATAGCAGATAATGAAAGCACCAGTTTCTGGTTCATGAGTGAAATGAGAGCTTGAGCAGAGCACTAGCCCGAATCTAAATTGTTGCAAAACATTGAGACAACTCAGACAAATTTCGAGCCCACCCACATTTCCTTGCATTGTATTACACAATATGGAATTATGTGGCTTCCTTCATTGGAATTCTGTCACAACATAGAAATCGAATGTGTCAAGATCAGACATGACGGTGACATGACAATCACCACATAGGAGCGGGCCTCCAGGGCAGACAGGGCCATCGATTAGGTATTGGAGAGCAGGTGTGGCAGCCTGATTGGTCTAACTGACACAGAATGACGGGGCCTGACAGCCGATTGTGATGGAAATGTTTTATTGATAAAACTGGGTTAATCACGAACATAGAGTTAGAGTTCTTTGTTATTGGGCCAGGAACTTAATTGGATCATTTCATTGTGTGTGTGGGGGTTTGTGTATGTTTCAAGGATTTAGGGACCTGTCATGTCCAACAATCGTTCTTCAGGTCAAGCCCAGGAGAGCCGGGGTTGAACAGAGTTTAAACTAAACATGAGTGTTTTTGCAAGATAAGGGATTGATTGAGTGTATTACTATTGATTCTGAACTGAATGAAAGTTGAATTTAGCCGCCACCATAGACAAAGGGAGTGGGCGGAGCAATAAAAGAGCGGGAAACTGAAGCGGGAGGGATTTTAAAAGCTAGGGTGTGTGGAGGGCACTATATAAGATGGAGAGAGGGCGGGAGAGGCTAGGCTACTCTGCAGACCAGCTTCCTTTTATTGAAATTCAATAAAGTAAATCTTGATTCAACAAAAACTCTGTAAGAACTTTGATTGTTAATAAAGTATAGTGATGAATTTCCACAACAATTGTCACAGTGTCACTTCAGCCGTCAGAAGGCCAAGCTCCTGCCACAGCATCCTATTCATTACTCATCATCCCTCACTTTTTCACTAAAGAGGATAGTCCCACAGACAGTGCTGAGAGACACAGACAGAAAGTGGGAGAGAGAGAGAGAGAGAGAGAGAGAGAGAGAGAGAGAGAGAGAGAGAGAGAGAGAGAGAGAGAGAGAGAGAGAGAGAAAGAGGAACAAAGAGAAAGAGGGAGAGAACGAGAGTGTGAGATAGCTAATTACTCCCTAATAGGCTCGGCCGGTATACTGGGGTATTTGGAAATGGCCATGGGATGGTTTTTCAATACCTTTGAAACTATTTATTTGAAGTTTTTCAATACATTTTAATATTTGTAGCTGTTTTTTAAGTAAATAACTGCAGTCAACTTGTGCAATGCATTAGGAGATAAAGCAGATCGCGTTCTTCATTTCACCAGTCATATTATGAAGCTTACTGTAGTTCCCCAGAACAGTTGAGCCAGTCACGTGTTTGTTAGTAAATAGCACAACGGGAGAAAGCGGGAGCAGATGAGTCCAGCTGTGAAGGTCGTGTTTTACATTGAAAGTCTGTGTTTTTTTTCTTCAATAGAGTGATCAGGGATGTGCAACTATAGTTTTCCTTCCCAGAAAATACATTAGCGCAATACATTTGGCAAAAAATTGCTTCATTTTCATCAGATAACAACAGAAGTGCAACGCTACTTGACTGGCAGCCACACAAGTAAATTAGTTGACAATAAAAAAGCAAGGTATTTTTTGCAAAAACGATGCATGGCCATCATATTTCTAATGGTTAGGCCTATCATAGAAAGAATGTAGCCAGCTATATTTCCTAATGTTTTGCTTAATCTTGCATTTCACCAGTGATAAATAGGCTGGCGTCACCGAGAAAAGTATCAGAGAAAAAGCATGCGTCAAAACTTTGTTATTAATTTGCACAATGTCTCTTGTTCACATTCACTTGTAAAATGTCCAAACTCACCAAAAATGACATTTGGTAGCTCCTACCTGTTGTGGCAGACCAGGGTCAAGACCTTTACACAGATCAGACACGGACAGAATTGTATTAGCTCCATGATAAAGAAATGTGTGAGTGAGATATGACTAAAATGTCACACCCTCAGTTACATTATTAGTTTATGACTAATTAGTAGACTAGAGCTTAGAGAATTAATCAAATGTGTTTATATCCCAGCAAGAGTATAGACTGATTCCCAAAACACACAGGGAAAGGGGAGTGAAAGGCTTGCAGGATATTGTAAGGAGGCGATAACTAAGGAATGCAGCCTATGATAAGAACATGTATGTATGTGTGTGTGTGTGTGTGTGTGTGTGTGTGTGTGTGTGTGTGTGTGTGTGTGTGTGTGTGTGTGACCTGATGGTCAGGAGAGCAGTTTTCCAGTGGAAAACTACAGCCCGCCTAAAGAGGGGTGGGATTTTTCCTCTGACGTGTGCGTATAAAAATATTGTACGACCATTTTGTTTCAGAGCGCTCTCATGAATAAATATGCTGACCATTGCAGGATTGAGTCTTTGTTTAATTTATTTAAACTAAGAGATTTACAACCTTTTGGGAATTATTCAGAGATTTAAGAAGTAGTTGACTTCAACCATTGAGATAACAAAATTCTCGTAACACTCCATTTCAAGGGTGTTTATTTAAATAATAAACAAAGAGAAAATAATAGGTATCCTCCAGGAGACCTCCTTCGGGATACCGTCTTCTGTGCTCCGGGGTCTTGCAGTATCCTGTGGGGAACAAAACCGAGCTCCCTCCGTTATCGCTGGTACTGAGCACGACTATACGTGAGTACCCTCTCTTCCCCAGTACCCACTCCTGTGTGCTGTCTTTCTGGCAGCTTTATGGGTCTCGTCCAGCTGGTGAGCAATCAGCTCCTTGATTTCTCACCAACCACAAATCAGCCCCAATTAGTCCTGGCCGGAGAGCCCGTCGAGACATGGCACGTCCAGCAAAGGGAGCCATCACGCGTGATGTAGACTCCCTCTGTCACCAGGCCTCGACGAGTCTCCCCCTGCACAACAGAAAAAGAGAAGCGTTGAAGGGACAAGAACCACCTGGTGACCCGATCGTTTGTGTCACTTTCCCTGGCCATCCAGACCAGGGAAGCATGGTCTGTGACCAGGGTGAAGTGGGTGCCCAACAGGTAATATCAATCAATCAATCAATCAATCAATTTTATTTTATATAGCCCTTCTTACATCAGCTAATATCTCGAAGTGCTGTACAGAAACCCAGCCTAAAACCCCAAACAGCTAGTAATGCAGGTGTAGAAGCACGGTGGCTAGGAAAAACTCCCTAGAAAGGCGAAAACCTAGGAAGAAACCTAGAGAGGAACCAGGCTATGAGGGGTGGCCAGTCCTCTTCTGGCTGTGCCGGGTGGAGATTATAACAGAACCATGCCAAGATGTTCAAAAATGTTCATAAGTGACAAGCATGGTCAAATAATAATCAGGAATAAATCTCAGTTGGCTTTTCATAGCCGATCATTAAGAGTTTGAAAACAGCAGGTCTGGGACAGGTAGGGGTTCCATAACCGCAGGCAGAACAGTTTAAACTGGAATAGCAGCAAGGCCAGGCGGACTGGGGACAGCAAGGAGTCACCACGGCCGGTAGTCCCGACGTATGGTCCTAGGGCTCAGGTCTCTCAGTTGGCTTTTCATAGCCGATCATTAAGAGTTGAAAACAGCAGGTCTGGGACAGGTAGGGGTTTCGTAGCCGCAGGCAGAACAGTTGAAACTGGAATAGCAGCAAGGCCAGGCGGACTGGGGACAGCAAGGTGTCATCATGCCCGGTAGTCCTGACGTATGGTCCTAGGGCTCAGGTTCTCAGAGAGAAAGAGAGAACGAGAGAATTAGAGAGAGCATACTTAAATTCACACAGGACACTGGATAAGACAGGAGAAGTACTCCAGGTATAACCAACTAACCCCAGCCCCCCGACACATAAACTACTGCAGCATAAATACTGGAGGCTGAGACAGGAGCGGTCCGGAGACACTGTGGCCCCATCCGAAGAAACCCCCGGACAGGGCCAAACAGGAAGGATATAACCCCACCCACTCCGCCAAAGCACAGCCCCCGCATCACTAGAGGGATATCCCCAACCACCAACTTACAATCCTGAGACAAGGCCGAGTATAGCCCACAGAGGTCTCCACCACAGCACAAACCAAGGGGGGGGCGCCAACCCAGACAGGAAGATCACGTCAGTAACTCAACCCACTCAAGTGACGCACCCCTCCCAGGGACGGCATGAAAGAGCACCAGCAAGCCAGTGACTCAGCCCCTGCAACAGGGTTAGAGGCAGAGAACCCCAGTGGAGAGGGGAACCGGCCGGTAATACTTGTGTGTCTAGCGCCCACTTCACCGCTAGACACTCTTTCTCGACAATCAAGTCTTTTTTTCTCTGGGTATCAGCTTTCGGCTTATGTACATGATGGGGTGCCCCTCTCCATCGTGTACCTGGGACAGGACGGCCCCTAGTCCCGTGTCGCATGCATCCGTCCTGGAAATCGGGCGTTACAAGAATCGGATGGGAGCTCAGCGCTTCCTTCAGGCGCCTGAACGCCGCTTCGGTCTCACTTGGCCATTTCACTGTTTTCGGGAGGTGGGCCCTGGTTAGAGCGGTAAGGGGGGAGGCTATAGCCACAAAGTTGGGGGTAAACCAGCTGTAGTATCATGCCAGTCCCAGGAAGGACTTGACCTGAGTCTTGGTGCGTGGAACGGGCCAGTCACGTACCGTGTGGACCTTCCTCTCCTGGGGCTTGGCGTTCCCCCGTCCGATCAAATACCCCAGGTACTCCACCTCCTCGAACACTAGCTTGCATTTCTTGGGGTTCGCTGTCAACCCGGCTTGCCTGAGCGCGTCCTGCACCGCCTGGAGGCGTGTCAGGTGCTCTTCCCAACCTTGGCTGTGGATGATGATATCATCCAAATAGGCCACTGTGTACTGTTGGTGGGGTTGGAGGACTCTGTCCATCAGGCACTGCAACTGATATAAGCCGTCCGGTGTCGAAAACGCAGTCTTCTCCACGGAGGCGGCTGCCAACAGTACCTGCCAATATCCTTTGGTCAGGTTGAGGGTGCTGATGTACCGGGCCTTTCCCAATCGGTCGATGAGCTCTTGTATCCTCGGCATGGGGTAGGCATCGAACAAGCTGGATGTCGTTCACACCCCGGAGGTCATTACAGAAGCACAGGCTACCGTCCGGTTTGGGCACCAACAAGATGGGGCTGCACCATGCGCTGTGGGACTCTTCGATGACCCCCATCCTCAGCATAGCCTCCACTTCCTGCTTCACGGCCTTCCTTCGGGCCTCGGGGATCCAGTATGGCCTCTTTCGTACCGTTGCCCCGGGCCAGGTGCGGACGTGGTGTTCAATGAGGGTCGTGCGGCCAGGCTTCTCGGAGAACACCGCTGCGTTCCGATCGACGAGCTCCCGGAGCGTTTGCATCTGTGCCGGGTCGAGGTCCTCATTGCTTGGGACCACCACTGGTACCGTTGGAGTCCTGGGTCCGACCATAACATGGCCAAGGCTGTCCTCTCGTGCCACCTCTTCAATAGGTTCACATGGTAAATCTGCTGAGGTTTCCGTCTCCCCGGCTGCCATACGCGGTTATTGACGGGTCCCAGCTTCTCTATCACCTCGTATGGCCCGTGCCATGTTGCCAGGATCTTACTTTCTGCTGTGGGGACTAAGACCAGCACCTTGTCTCCCACCTGGAATTCTCAGGGCTGGGTTCCCCATAGATGCGGGTTTGTCAACCGCTTGCTTCCGGAATGCGCAGGCGGCGGGTCATCCTCGCTCGTCTCCCACCCGCTCGTACCTTTTTCCTCAGCTCGTGCCTCAACAGTGCCACGAACAGTGGACAATCTCCTCCCACGAGGAGGGGTACTGGCAACTCCAGTACGGCACCCACAATCTGGAAGCTCCCTTGTGGTGTCACGATGTTGGCCTGTACGGTCGGATAACGCTTGGTGTCAATGTGGACAAAGGGAACGGACATCTCCCCACCACGTTCGGTCCCCTGGGCCAGCAGGCTCGTGGCTACGAGCGTAACCACACTCCCGGAGTCCAATAGAGCTTCAGTGTCGTGTCCGTCGACTTTTACTGGGACCATGGGTGCCGGTGGTTTGTGGTGCGCCAACAGGAGGTGACATAGTTCACTGCGTGGCCTACCTCGCCTCCAGGGCTTGCTGATGGCATCGACTCCTCTCGAGCCGGGAAATTCCATGCAAGGTGCCCACGGTCGCCACACTCAAAACACCTCCTTTGGTCTCCATCTATCTGGGGTTGTCGGCGGTGGGTCGGCTCTCCCCCGGCCATCTCTCCGCGGGTCTGCGGCCCTTTGGCCCCGCTGACTGTCGGTTCTGGGTATACGGCGGTGGGGGTGTCCTTCTGTCCACTTGGACGGGTCCCCGACTCGGCCCCCCTTCAGCAGGGCCTCTGTGTTCTGATCAGTCTCCACTGCTCCCAGGAGGTCCTCCAAGGTCTTGGGCGCACGTAGACTCGCTGCCCTCTTAATGTCTTGGGGCAGAGCCCGTAAGAAGTGATCCATGACCACTTTGTCTATGATGGAGAGGGTGGATACGTCGGTTAGGAGCCATGCCCTTGTGATGCGCAGTAGGTCGCTCATCTGGGCTTAGGGGGAGGCGTCGGCCACGATCCTCCAGTCGTGGACCAGTTGGGCCCGACGGGCCAGGCTGTACCCGTAGTGGCTGAGTTTCTCTCACTTGAGACTGTCGTAGTTAGCCGCCTGTTCGTCGTTAAGGTCCCAATACGCCTTTTGGGCATTCCCGGACAGGAACGGGCCAGCAGACTTGCCCACTTCGGTCTTGGCCATCCTTCCCATAGCGCTGTCCATTCAAACGTGCAGAGGTATGTTTCAATGTCGTCATCCTCCATTAGCTTGATTAAAAACTGGTTTGGATGGGATTCAGTAGGCGCTCCTCCTTGTAGCTTCCTGATTTCCTCAACGAGGCGGCCATTTTATAGCCGCTGTTCCTCCAGCGTTCGTTCCTGAACCGCCTGTTGTGCTTGTTGGGACAGGTCGAACTGAGCTATCAACTCGTCCATGCTGATGCTGCATAAATGTCAACCCTGTTCTGACCACGTTATCAGAATGCCTACATTCTCCACCACTTGTGGCAGACCAGGGGGTTTGGTCAAGACCTTTACACAGATCAGACACGGACAGAATTGTATTAGCTCTATTTCAAGGGTGTTAATTTAAATAATAAACAAAGAGAAAAGAATAGGTATCCTCCAGGAGACCTCCTTCGGGATACCGTCTTCTGTGCTCCGGGGTCTTTCTGTATCCTGTGGGGAACAAAACCGAGCTCCCTCCGTTATCGCTGGTACTGAGCACGACTATACGGGAGTACCCCCTCTTCCCCAGTACCCACTCCTGTGTGCTGTCCTTCTGGCAGCTTTATGGGACTCGTCCAGCTGGTGAGCAATAAGCTCCTTGATTTCTCACCAACCACAAATCAGCCCCAATTAGTAATGGCCGGAGAGCGCATCGAGACCTGGCACGTCCAGCAGAGGGAGCCATCGCCGCGTGATGTAGACTCCCTCTGTCACCAGGCCTAGACGAGTCTCCCCCTGGTGGCTAACCTGCGGTACGCCACACCGTATGTATGTATGTATGTATGTATGTATGTATGTATGTATGTATGTATGTATGTATGTATGTATGTATGTATGTATGTATGTATGTATGTATGTATGTATGTATGTATGTATGTATGTATGTATGTATGTATATATATATATATATATATATATATATATATATATATATATATCTTTATGAGCTGGATTGCCCGTCTTTGCAATTAGTTTATTTTCATTTGCACTCGTTAGCAAATTTAGCCATTGTCATTCGCTATTACTTGTGCTCATTTTGTTAGTTTTCTGGTAATAGACGCCCAATGGGCTTTTTGTCTCGTTTTTAGCGCCCCCTTGTGTACTAAACCGGTAATACTGTATATCCCAGTATGAGAGGACGACGGTATAATAATCTGGATATCGCCCAACCCTAATAGTCAGATTATAGTTTGTTTAAAACGTTTACATGCTTTTCAAGAACGATTTGACACATCTGAAATCAAGCTACCTGATTGGACTTTTGATAAATGCAGAAAGATCTGCTAACAAAATAAACATTCTACCACAGTGACCATGTTATTTTTGCGAAGACCATTTGGTTCCGAGTTTGGACATATAAAGTTTGTATGTGAAAACTATTTATACTGAACAAAAATATAAAACGCAACATGTAAAGTATTCCAGAAATGTTCCATATGCAAATATATTATTTCTCTCCAATTATGTGCACAAATGTGCCAAGATAATCCATCCACCTGACAGGTGTGGCATATTAAGAAGCTGATTAAACAGCATTACACAGGTGCACCTTGTGCTGGGGACAATAAAAGGCCACTAAAAATGTGCAGTTGTCACACAACACCACAGATGTCTCAAGTTGAGAGAGTGTGCAATTGGCATGCTGACTGCAGGAATGTCCACCAGAGCTGTTGCCAGATAATTGAATGTTAATTTCTCTACCATAAGCCACCTCCGTTGTTTTAGAGAATTTGGCAGTACATCCAAACGGCCTCACAACCACAGACCACGTGTAACTGCGCTAGCCCAGGACCGCTACATTTGGCTTCTTCACCTGCGGGATTGTCTGAGACCAGCCACCCGGACAGCTGATGTAAAAAAGCCCTTTTGTGGGGAACAACTCATTCTGATTGGCTGGGCATGGCTCCAAAGTGGGTGGGCCTATGCCCTCCCAGGCCCACCCATGGCTGTGCCCCTGCCCAGTAATGTGAAATCCATAGATTAGGGCCTAATGAATTTATTTCAATTGACTAATTTCCTTATATGAACTGTAACTCAGTAAAAATCCTTGAAATTGTTGCATGTTGTGTTCATATTTTTGTTCAGTATATATGCATACTTCCAAACTCTTCCCAAACTCCCAAACTCACTCACGCATAAGAGGGAGGCTTGCGCTACCTGTACTGGCCCATGCGCAGATCAAATACACCACTGGAATGCTGATTAAGATGTTTACATGTACTAATAATTTGAAAGATTGCTCAGAAAACCAGGTGTTTTAATTGGCGTATGCTTACTTCGAATTTGACCTTACGCCGATTAAGATAAGCAGAGTAAGGTGTTTACATGACTAATGCCATACTCGGCCTTCTGCCATAATCAGTTTAATATCAAATTATTAGTGTGCATGTAAACATCCTCAATGGCTTATGAGGAAAGTAGCTACATCTTCAAATATGAATGAAATACACCTTCCACTTAATGCTCACATGTATTTTGCATTTTCATCATCAGGAGCATGTGAAACAACTAGAGCCCGACCAATATGGGATTTTTGGGTCTGATACCGATTTTAGGGAGGCAAAAGTCACCGATTACCGATATATTTTGTTTTCTAGAGGTGGAATGAAAAATACATTTTTTACATTTTAATCATTTTAGCAGACGCTCTTATCCAGAGCGACTTACAGTTAGTGAGTGCATACATTTTTCATACTGGCCCCCCGTGGGAATCGAACCCACAACCCTGGCATTGCAAGCACCATGCTCTACCAACTGAGCTACAGGAGACCTTTGTTTATACAAATTTTGCTCCAAAGGATTAAACAGATACTCTAAATGATGCTTTCAACAAAATATAACAATTTATAGTATTTAAGAACATTTGATTTGTGGTTTACAGGATATCCACCAAAAATAAACTATATCCTCTATAAATACGACAGTAAACTTGTTTGGTATAACTTCTTAATTAAGTACAACAGAAAGATGTGTCTTACTGGATAAGAAGTATGCAAAAGTGTTTGTGCTATACCATCACAAAGGGTCTCTGGTTGAATGATTTAAACTTAGTATCAAAGTAAATCTGAAACTGCACAGTTCACAAGCATTGAAAAGCAGTAACATGCCGTTCATAATGTCACCACTAGGTGTCAGCATTTGTTTCTAGTAGATTTACTACAGTGTTTACATTCAAAGGTCATGTAAACAAACACTTTATGGCAACCTCGCAATGAGAGTATGTTATGACATAAGCTAGCTGTTCATTACAACAATGTTTACTTACAGAAAATGTACATTACACTGTTATTCAATACAAAATGTATTGGCTATAAATTTCAACTGAAAATGTTTCCGGAGGCAAATGCTTGCCGTGCTGTTTTGGTCACACGTTCTAATTTAGCTAGCCAACAAATGTTAGCTTCTTAACTCATCATGAATGCAAGCTATGGCCTGAAAGATAGATCTACGCCAACTGTTGCCTTTTTTGCAGATTGCATATTTCAGAAAACTAACTAAATAAGCCACATGCTAACATAATAGGCCCAGACAGTAACATTGTTCTTTTTGTATCACGGACGAGTGTTCACTTTTGCGCCAGTCCAGTGTTAGCACATAAGTAGAACAGATTGCTAGCTAGCTAGCTAAGCTAACTACCTGGCTGGCTAGATAGCTAAGCTAACATTAACTAAGTGAGAATGTGATGAAGACATGGCTGGCTTCTTGGTGAAGTGTACTTTTGATTATTTACTTATTCAAATACGCTGACTGTGGCAAGCTACTCACCGTCAAACCACCATGCCTACTCTCTCACGTTGTGACTTGGGGCTGAATTATGTTCAATGAGCAGCTCAGGGCACCCTCTTCAGGCAACCATTGAATATTTTAAAAAATGACCGCAAATGAGCAGACATACAGTGGGGAAAAAAAGTATTTAGTCAGCCACCAATTGTGCAAGTTCTCCCACTTAAAAAGATGAGAGAGGCCTGTAATTTTCATCATAGGTACACGTCAACTATGACAGACAAAATGAGAAAAGAAAATCCAGAAAATCACATTGTAGGATTTTTAATGAATTTATTTGCAAATTATGGTGGAAAATAAGTATTTGGTCAATAACAAAAGTTTCTCAATACTTTGTTATATACCCTTTGTTGGCAATGACACAGGTCAAACGTTTTCTGTAAGTCTTCACAAGGTTTTCACACACTGTTGCTGGTATTTTGGCCCATTCCTCCATGCAGATCTCCTCTAGAGCAGTGATGTTTTGGGGCTGTCGCTGGGCAACACAGACTTTCAACTCCCTCCAAAGATTTTCTATGGGGTTGAGATCTGGAGACTGGCTAGGCCACTCCAGGACCTTGAAATGCTTCTTACGAAGCCACTCCTTCGTTGCCCGGGCGGTGTGTTTGGGATCATTGTCATGCTGAAAGACCCAGCCACGTTTCATCTTCAATGCCCTTGCTGATGGAAGGTTTTCACTCAAAATCTCACGATACATGGCCCCATTCATTCTTTCCTTTACACGGATCAATCGTCCTGGTCCCTTTGCAGAAAAACAGCCCCAAAGCATGATGTTTCCACCCCCATGCTTCACAGTAGGTATGGTGTTCTTTGGATGCAACTCAGCATTCTTTGTCCTCCAAACACGACGAGTTGAGTTTTTACCAAAAAGTTCTAATTTGGTTTCATCTGACCATATGACATTCTCCCAATCCTCTTCTGGATCATCCAAATGCACTATAGCAAACTTCAGACGGGCCTGGACATGTACTGGCTTAAGCAGGGGGACACGTCTGGCACTGCAGGATTTGAGTCCCTGGCGGCGTAGTGTGTTACTGATGGTAGGCTTTGTTACTTTGGTTCCAGCTCTCTGCAGGTCATTCACTAGGTCCCCCCGTGTGGTTCTGGGATTTTTGCTCACCGTTCTTGTGATCATTTTGACCCCACGGTGTGAGATCTTGTGTGGAGCCCCAGATCGAGGGAGATTATCAGTGGTCTTGTATGTCTTCCATTTCCTAATAATTGCTCCCACAGTTGATTTCTTCAAACCAAGCTGCTTACCTATTGCAGATTCAGTCTTCCCAGCCTGGTGCAGGTCTACAATTTTGTTTCTGGTGTCCTTTGACAGCTCTTTGGTCTTGGCCATAGTGGAGTTTGGAGTGTGACTGTTTGAGGTTGTGGACAGGTGTCTTTGATACTGATAACAAGTTCAAACAGGTGCCATTAATACAGGTAACGAGTGGAGGACAGAGGAGCCTCTTAAAGAAGAAGTTACAGGTCTGTGAGAGCCAGAAATCTTGCTTGTTTGTAGGTGACCAAATACTTATTTTCCACCATAATTTGCAAATAAATTCATTAAAAATCCTACAATGTGATTTTCTGGAGTTTTTTTTCTCAATTTGTCTGTCATAGTTGACGTGTACCTATGATGAAAATTACAGGCCTCTCTAATCTTTTTAAGTGGGAGAACTTGCACAATTGGTGGCTGACTAAATACTTTTTTTCCCCCACTGTATTTGTTTATTCTATGCATATAATATCAACGCTTTATCTGGAATAAAGACCGATACAAATATTTATGTGAAAGGCTAAATGTCGGCCGTTAATATCGGTATACAATTTATCAGTCGGGCCCTAGAAATAACTGACTAAACTATACTTATCCTTTCGGAGGAATGTGTGAGTTGACACACTCACTTTAGGTGCCGGATGTCTGCGACAGAGCGGTTGAGGGAGATCCTATCGCTGACATAGATGTTGAACCCATTCTCCCTGTAGGCCTGGTCCACCCGGTCAGTGTCGGTCAGAGGAAAGGGCTTCCCCTGCTCCCCGTTACCTACACAAACACACACACACACACACACACACACACACAGAGAGAGAACAGAACATACATGAGCACAACGATACTGTCAACTTAGGTTGAAATGCCTTGCTCCATCCATCTGTTGTCATGTTCTAGCCTGTAATGATCTGCTTTTCTCTGACAGACTGAAAATACCTGGACTTAATGTCAGCTAAAATCCCTTTTGTCTGAGGTACAGTACCTGCTGAATGAACCATAAGGTCCTTGGAAATGTCTTGCAGTCTGTCGACCACTTCAGTTTTAATGGCCTACTGTCTGAAGAGTCGTTGTGCTAGAATCACACCTTTGAAAAGCTCATGTTCCTACAAACATATAATGCCTTGTGTGGAATCATTTGTTATCGCAGTATACAGTGAGGGAAAAAAAGTATTTGATCCCCTGCTGTTTGCCCACTGATAAAGACATGATCAGTCTATAATTTTAACGGAAGGTGTATTTGAACAGTGAGAGACAGAATAACAACAAAATCCAGAAAAACGCATGTCAAAAATGTTATAAATTGATTTGCATTTTAATGAGGGAAATAAGTATTTGACCCCTCTGCAAAACATGACTTTGTACTTGGTGGCAAAGCCCTTGTTGGCAATCACAGAGGTCAGACGTTTCTTGTAGTTGGCCACCAGGTTTGCACACATCTCAGGAGGGATTTTGTCCCACTCCTCTTTGCAGATCTTCTCCAAGTCATTATGGTTTCGAGGCTGACGTTTGGCAACTCAAACCTTCAGCTCCCTCCACAGATTTTCTATGGGATTATGGTCTGGAGACTGGCTAGGCCACTCCAGGACCTTAATGTGCTTCTTCTTGAAACACTCCTTTGTTGCCTTGGCCGTGTGTTTTGGGTCATTGTCATGCTGGAATACCCATCCACGACCCATTTTCAATGCCCTGGCTGAGGGAAGGAGGCTCTCACCCAAGATTTGACGGTACATGGCCCCGTCCATCGTCCCTTTAATGCGGTGAAGTTGTCCTGTCCCCTTAGCAGAAAAACACCCCCAAAGCATAATGTTTCCACCTCCATGTTTGACGGTGGGGATGGTGTTCTTGGGGTCATAGGCAGCATTCCTCCTCCTCCAAACACGGCGAGTTGAGTTGATGGCAAAGAGCTCGATTTTGGTCTCATCTGACCACAACACTTTCACCCAGTTCTCCTCTGAATCATTCAGATGTTCACTGGCAAACTTCAGACGGCCCTGTATATGTGCTTTCTTGAGCAGGGGGACCTTGCGGGCGCTGCAGGATTTCAGTCCTTCACGGCGTAGTGTGTTACCAATTGTTTTCTTGGTGACTATGGTCCCAGCTGCCTTGAGATCATTGACAAGATCCTCCCGTGTAGTTCTGGGCTGATTCCTCACCGTTCTCATGATCATTGCAACTCCACGAGATGAGATCTTGCATGGAGCCCCAGGCCGAGGGAGATTGACAGTTATTTTGTGTTTCTTCCATTTGCGAATAATCGCAGCAACTGTGGTCACCTTCTCACCAAGCTGCTTGGCGATGGTCTTGTAGCCCATTACAGCCTTGTGTAGGTCTACAATCTTGTCCCTGACATCCTTAAAGAGCTCTTTGGTCTTGGCCATGGTGGAGAGTTTGGAATCTGATTGATTGATTGCTTCTGTGGACAGGTGTCTTTTATACAGGTAACAAGCTGAGATTAGGAGCACTCCCTTTAAGAGTGTGCTTCTAATCTCAGCTCGTTACCTGTATAAAAGACACCTGGGAGCCAGGTTATTCTGTCTCTCACTGTTCAAATAAACCTACCATTAAAATTATAGACTGATCATGTCTTTGTCAGTGGGCAAATGTACAAAATCAGCAGGGGATCAAATACTTTTTTCCCCTCACTGTAGTTGTGGGCTTCAAACCTCAAACTAAAGGGCAGTGTGTGTGAGGGACTTCCTGAAGTTCTGTCCTACCAGAGCGAGCAGCGTCTCTCCTGATTGCCTCGTAGTCGTGCCAGTCCTTCCTCCGCACGCCGTCCCGCCCCATCTGGGCATTCTTCCGGGGCCTGACGTTTACTCCCTGCCAAAACACACAGGAACAGAGGGTCAAACATCAGGACATACACCCACACACAGAGGGTATCACACACATACAGTAGAGGGTAAAACGCATCCACACATGCCGCACACACACACAGGAACAGAGGGTCGCATATCAGGACACCTTACTAACCAGCAACCATTCTGCCAGAGCCTGTGAGGCTTGATGCTCAAGTAGCTATACAAGTAGGTCTACATCACATTCTGAGAGCATATTCATAAACATAACCATACAAGCAAATAAACAGTTGTCCATTACCCAACAGCAGAGAACCTTGCAAAAACACAACCATTACCAATAGTCATTATGGGACTTTTTTTTTAGCCTCAAGCTTTAATCAATTTCCTTATCACGCTTGACTTCAGCAAAACTGCCATCAGTCACAATTAAATGTAATGTAAACTCCTTCAAGGGCTGCTCCTTATGTGCTGCTATGCTGGTCAGCGTTTTTCAGAGGCTTGAGAACTGTTCTTATGAGAGCAGAGCAGAAGAAGAAAATGGAAAGGAAGGAACACAAGTATGGAGAAACTCATTTGACTTTAACACTAGAACTGCCATAGGCCAACGGCCACTGACATTTTATTTTGTAAATAATAACCCCCCCCCCCCCCCTCCACAAAAAAGAAAAAACAACATCCTGCTCCTTCCTTGACTTTTCCTAAATGTTTGTATTTTACATTGCTCATTTGTCACAATTACCTGTTTTTTTCCCCACACCTATTCCCAACTTAACCTGCCAAGACAATGCGCTGTAGGAAGTTGGTACCCAGCCAGGCGCTAATGCGTCTCTCTCTCTCCTTACTGAATGACAAATGGATGAATGGGCAATAATTGTGAACGTTACTTCACAACTGAATTTAAATTAGGCCTAACTGAATGATAAGGAGCGTGAAGAGGTTGATTTAATTTAGAAAGACAATAGTGTGATGAGTTTGCATTATGCCTATTTATCAGTGTTGGCGCTCATGTTTATAGCAAATAATTTGACTGCGCACCTTGATATCATTGTCTTTTACGTTTTACTTCGTAAAAAGAAGCTGTTACGGGACGGTTTAATTTACTATAACTCTATTACTAACCCTTTATTGTAAGGGAAGCGACAACATGCTACGTGTTGCAGTAGGCCTTTAGAATAATGCAAAACATATCCTTGAGTTGATAAGCGAGGGAGAAGCAAATGATGCCAGCCCACAGAATGAAGGACAAATGGATGAATGGGAGCGATAACTGTGCACATTACTTCAATCAAATGTTAAATTAGGCCTAACTGAATGATAAGGAGGGTGAAGAGTTTAATGTAATTTAGAACAACAAGTGTGATGAGTTTGTGTTAAGCCTATTTATCAGCATTGGTGCTCATGTTAATAACTTGACAGGTTGATACTATTCTCTTACGGGACAGTTTTATTTACAATAACTATTATTAAATCACATTTATTTTAAGGGAAACAAAAACATGCAGTAGTTGCAGTAGTCCTTTAGAATAATGCAAAACATATCCTTGACTCTATCCAAGTTCATGAGTGAGGGGAAACAAACTATGCCAGTCAGCCTGCGCAGCCAGCCCATCAAAACTACACCGAAACTAATTTCACACATAAGATTAAATTGCTGCTAAATGCATATAGGGGAAACTTTGCTTCATAATGTCTCAACTCCATCTCAGTAGGGGAGGAGGGGAACACAGTGGGTGTCAGGTAGGATGTCCATTGGCCACAAGGTGAGAGAACAGTGAGGTTAGCACTGAGTCAGACTAGAAGTCAATGGACCTCTCTGAAATAGACACACACGGTCCTTCTCTCACATAAAACTCCTGGCAGAGAAAAGATGACCTAGGTACAATTCAATCCATCATTTGGGTTTAGCTGTGGAGACATGGCAGTAAAATAACAAAACTCAGTGCTGCTGAGAGCTGCGAAGTTTACACAATGGAATTGTATAACATTTAATTTCACGCTTGTACCCCTGTGAGAATATCATCCCAACGCATTTGCTTGTTTGCACGTACAGTTGAAGTCTGAAGTTTACATACACCTTAGCCAAATACATTTAAACTCAGTTTTTCACAATTACTGACATTTAATCCTAGTAACAATTCCCTGTTTTAGGTCAGTTAGGATCACCACTTTATTTTAAGAATGTGAAATGTCAGAATAATAGTAGAGAATTATTTATTTCAGCTTTTATTCCTTTCATCATATTCCCAGTGGGTCAGAAGTTTACATACACTCAATTAGTATTCGGTAGCATTGCCTTTAAATTATTTAACTTGGGTCAAACTTTTCGGGTAGCCTTCCACAAGCTTCCCACAATAAGTTGGGTGAATTTTGGCCCATTTCTCTTGACAGAGCTGGTGTAACTGAGTCAGTTTGTAGGCCTCCTTGCTCGCACACACTTTTTCAGTTCTGCCCACAAAATGTCTATAGGATTGAGGTCAGGGCTTTGTGATGGCCACTCCAATACCTTGACTTTGTTGTCCTTATGCCATTTTGCCACAACTTTTGAAGTATGCTTGGGGTCTTGTCCATTTGGAAGACCCATTTGCGACCAAGCTTTAACTTCCTGACTGATGTGTTGAGATGTTGCTTCAATATATCCACCTAATTTTCCTTCCTCATGATGCCATCTATTTTCTGAAGGGCACCAGTCCCTCCTGCAGCAAAGCACCCCCACAGCATGATGCTGCCACCCCTGTGCTTCACGGTTGGGATGGTGTTCTTCGGCTTGCAAGCCACCCCCCTTTTCCTCCAAACATAACGATGGTCATTATGGCCAAACAGTTCTATTTTTGTTTCATCAGACCAGAGGACATTTCTCCAAAAAGTACGATCTTTGTCCCCATGTGCAGTTGCAAACCGTAGTCTGGCTTTTTTATGGTGGTTTTGGAGCAGTGGCTTCTTCATTGCTGAGCGGCCTTTCAGGTTATGTCGATACAGGACTCGTTTTACTGTGTGTATAGATACTTTTGTACCTGTTTCCTCCAGCATCTTCACAATGTCCTTTGCAGTTGTTCTGGAATTGAGTTGCACTTTTCGCACCAAAGTACGTTCATCTCTAGGAGAGAGAGCGCGTCTCCTTCCTGAGCGGTATGACGGCTGCGTGGTCCCATGGTGTTTATACTTGCGTACTATTGTTTGTACAGATGAACGTGGTACCTTCAGGCGTTTGGAAATTGCTCCCAAGGATGAACCAGAGTTGTGGAGGTCTACAATTATTTTTGGCTGATTTCTTTTGATTTTCCCATGATGTCAAGCAAAGAGGCACCGAGTTTGAAGGTAGGCCTTGAAATACATCCACAGGTACACCTCCAATTGACTCAAATGATGTCAATTAGCCTATCAGAAGCTTCTAAAGCCATGACATCATTTCCTGGAATTTTCCAAGCTGTTTAAAGGCACAGTCAACTTAGTGTATGTAAACTTCTGACCCACTGGAATTGTGACACAGTGAATTATAAGTTAAATAATCTGTCTGTAAACAATTGTTGTGTCATGCACAAAGTAGATGTCCTAACCGACTTGCCAAAACTATAGTTTGTTAACAAGACATTTGTGGAGTGGTTGAAAAACGAGTTTTAATGACTCCAACCTAAGTGTATGTAAACTTCCGACTTCATCTGTAGGTAGTGCGCACGCACACTTTTCTACTCCACTGAAAAACACATGCAGTGATTAAGCCATTAATCCAAGTCATCGTCCATGCTCTAAAAATGATCCCTTTTTAGGCGGCAGACGTCACAAATTTGGATCACAACGGTGAAATAATTAGCTCAATGGGAGGATGTGATTAGTGAAACGTTGTTCATGCAAATGGCAAGCCTAATTGCATGGAATTCAATTAATTACTAAAATCAGCCTGCTAAGTAATATCACTGTGATGAGAAACAAACAACTAAACATACAAATACAACTTCTTGGTATTCGGGGTTGGGGGCAGGGTACACAGTATTTGCAATGTATGTAGGCTACTACTATCTAGTCTAGGCCTATTTGTCAAACTGATAATACATCAAAGGCCTAGGTAAAAGTTTAAACAGTTGGACAGTGTGGGGGCTATAGTTAGGCTATAGTACTGAGTAGTAGCTCTCCTGGTCAGGTCACATGTCAGGGCTGTGTTTATAATGTACTTATCTATTTGTCAAACAGCTGACATCAATACACCTGGGGGACTGATAATGCACACTGGCCCAGAGGTCACCTCACCTCCACTTTCACCACAAGTTCCACTTTCCACACAAAGTCATTTTCTACATGTTACCTGGCCAGAGGGAGAGGCAGGCCCTGGCTGCAATGCCTACACTCAAACTCATTGAATGGCCAGTAAACACTCAACCAGAGCTACACACTGAGAAAAGTAAGCTTCGATTTAACAATCTAGAACAAGATTATTAAAAGGTGGATGCTCTACATTGGTGGCAATGTAGTGAGTTAGGCCCAGACAACAATGTAACGCACTTTTTGAAAACTAAAGATGTTGGATCTTCATTTGATCACCCTGTTGCAACAGAACTTTCCTGCAATGCAGAAAATGTAAACCTTGTAGTGTATTTGATGTTTAAAAAGTTTGGCCACAGATCAGCTTTGTAAGCAGGTTGATAATAGTAGGCCTAGGCTACATGCAGAACAGACACTTGTTCACTGGCACAAACACCAATTAAAACACTCAGAAATGTTAGGCAGTATTTCACTACAAATCCTCTTTCTCTTCAAAAGCTCTGCATGTCTCACTGTGTATGCATCCGACGGCCCTACTGCCGCTGTATGTTGAGATTTACTTCATCCTCACAAACACACACACCCACAGCAAGCAGAGCCAATCATCCCTGACAGACAGGTAACCTTATTAATCACCGGCTTAGACTCACTGTCACACTTCTGTCCTGAGCCAGGCACAGAGATCAAGCCTCAGTTCAAGAGAGCTGCTCTCAAAATGTCACGACGAGAGGCTTTCCCCTCTGCGCTGACGAGGACCGACGAGTCCATCTGTACAGATCCTGTTAAGAGGAAGCAAGATTGTGCCGCGCCATTTCCTTTTGATAAAAATTTCAACACACGGAGCTATGATATTCCACTGAGGCTTTGCTGCTCTAACAAGACCTTCGGAAAACTTTTCACTGTGTGTGTGCGTGTGTGTGTGTGTGTAGTGACAGAAGAGAAATGTGCTCACATTAGAGCAAATTAGCATTACTCATCCTACCATCCGTGCCCTGGCCCAGACTTACTGTACAAAGGCATAACAAGCATCATTTCCACTGCTGAACATCAGAGTGAGACCCACTACCTTCAACACCATCAGAAGACTCCACGCTGGCAGAAACTCATTTCAACACAAGTTCTTTTCAATTCCATCAGTATTCAGGGCACACCACAAACACAGTAATAGGGCAACGCTCAGACGCATCTCCCGTTTTGTCTCCTACTCCGCACCACTCACAGTCTGTATAAGTAACGGCCCATGATGCATTTGCAATCAAGCACAAATTTGGCTAAAAGCAGAGAGAGGTAAAAAAAAACATTGGCCCATTTTACCTGGCTGAGTGATCATTAATTAACTTCAATGTACTCTTTTAATGGTCTACTCATCTGATGGCTGTTCCTAGCAAATCGTTTCTGTGTGTGGGGAGGAAATATTATTTATATAGGAAAGTGTGTGTGCGTCATCAGAGAATGGTAAGGCAGCAGCAGCGATGGCCTATAATTTGCAACAAGCAAATAACACTTCAGGGCTGATATAACTAGCAAAACAAAAAGGCTGGTCAGACATCCAGAACGGCTTCGTGGCATGGCGTGGTGCGGCTGGCTGCCAGAGGCTGCTCTCTGGATGAGCGTCAGAGAGCTGGTCCCAGTGACCTCAGCCAGGTCTGTAAATGGAGGGATTTGAAGATTATGGGCCGCCCTCTCTGAATCACGATCAAACCTCATTTCCATCCAGCTCTGGTCCATCGTTAATCTCACGAACACCAGATTATGTGTGTCACTGAGGGCGGCTGGGATTGATATTGCGTCCTCTGTTTGGGCTCTCATCACACAACAGAACTCAAATCGTTCAGAGTTCCAGATTATGGATGCGAGACAGTCTCATACACGCACAAACACATGCACACATGCAGACGCACAAACTTTAGCTCTGAGTTCTCTGATTGTCCTTCTTCTTGTGGTACTTCATCAGATAATGTGATGCTTGGCGTGGGACTGGCATTACTGGCTCTCCTAGCGATCTCCAGATGTCTAAACAAACGCACAACCCAGAAGGATGCGGACTAAGCCTTGAGCTAAGCTGAGGGGGTAGACATCTATGGAGAGTACAGAACTGTGTTTAGATAGAGCGCTGAAAGATGGACCACTGTAGTCCTCAATAAAATGTGCAAAACTGCAGAACACACCAGTTGGACTACAACAGACGTGGACACAACTGAATATTTCTCTTCATCAAATGTCTGCCAAACAAAGCTAGCGCCAAACTCCTGTTTGATTTGTATATTCTGTCCATTCGTACCAAAAAAAGTGCAGCGTAAGAAGTCTGGAATTGGTTTTCATCCTGAGTACTGAAGAACAGGATGCTGAAGAACACCACAAATGTGCCAATCACTATTCAAAAACAAGTACAAGAAATATGTATCCAGGGCTTACAGTTAGTGAGTGCATAAATTTTTTTCATTTATTCATACTGGTCCCCCATGGAATCGAACCCACAACCATGGCGTTGCAAGCGCCATGCTCGCAGATGTGTATACAGTGGGGGAAAAAAGTATTTAGTCAGCCACCAATTGTGCAAGTTCTCCCACTTAAAAAGATGAGAGAGGCCTGTAATTTTCATCATAGGTACACGTCAACAATGACAGACACATTTAGAAAAAAAAATCCAGAAAAATCACATTGTAGGATTTTTAATGAATTTATTTGCAAATTATGGTGGAAAATAAGTATTTGGTCACCTACAAACAAGCAAGATTTCTGGCTCTCACAGACCTGTAACTTCTTCTTTAAGAGGCTCCTATGTCCTCCACTCGTTACCTGTATTAATGGCACCTGTTTGAACTTGTTATCAGTATAAAAGACACCTGTCCACAACCTCAAACAGTCACACTCCAAACTCCACTATGGGCAAGACCAAAGAGCTGTCAAAGGACACCAGAAACAAAATTGTAGACCTGCACCAGGCTGGGAAGACTGAATCTGCAATAGGTAAGCAGCTTGGTTTGAAGAAATCAACTGTGGGAGCAATTATTAGGAAATGGAAGACATACAAGACCACTGATAATCTCCCTCAATCTGGGGCTCCACGCAAGATCTTATCCCGTGGGGTCAAAATGATCACAAGAACGGTGAGCAAAAATCCCAGAACCACACGGGGGGACCTAGTGAATGACCTGCAGAGAGCTGGGACCAAAGTAACAAAGCCTACCATCAGTAACACACTACGCCACCAGGGACTCAAATCCTGCAGTGCAAGACGTGTCCCCCTGCTTAAGCCAGTACATGTCCAGGCCCGTCTGAAGTTTGCTAGAGTGCATTTGGATGATCCAGAAGAGGATTGGGAGAATGTCATATGGTCAGATGAAACCAAAATATAACTTTTTGGTAAAAACTCAACTCGTCGTGTTTGGAGGACAAAGAATGCTGAGTTGCATCCAAAGAACACCATACCTACTGTGAAGCATGGGGGTGGAAACATCATGCTTTGGGGCTGTTTTTCTGCAAAGGGACCAGGACGACTGATCCGTGTAAAGGAAAGAATGAATGGGGCCATGTATCGTGAGATTTTGAGTGAAAACCTCCTTCCATCAGCAAGGGCATTGAAGATGAAACGTGGCTGGGTCTTTCAGCATGACAATGATCCCAAACACACCGCCTGGGCAACGAAGGAGTGGCTTCGTAAGAAGCATTTCAAGGTCCTGGAGTGGCCTAGCCAGTCTCCAGATCTCAACCCCATAGAAAATCTTTGGAGGGAGTTGAAAGTCCGTGTTGCCCAGCGACAGCCCCAAAACATCCCTGCTCTAGAGGAGATCTGCATGGAGGAATGGGCCAAAATACCAGCAACAGTGTGTGAAAACCTTGTGAAGACTTACAGAAAATGTTTGACCTGTGTCATTGCCAACAAAGGGTATATAACAAAGTATTGAGAAACTTTTGTTATTGACCAAATACTTATTTTCCACCATAATTTGCAAATAAATTCATTAAAAATCCTACAATGTGATTTTCTGGATTTTTTTTTCTCATTTTGTCTGTCATAGTTGACGTGTACCTATGATGCACATTACAGGCCTCTCTCATCTTTTTAAGTGGGAGAACTTGCACAATTGGTGGCTGACTAAATACTGTTTTTCCCCACTGTACATGCCCTGACATTAAGCATGAGCTTAGACAATGGAATATTGAATGGAAATGCAATCATTAACATTATGCAGAGGTTTTCAAGGCAATAATGACGTTTGTTGAGTTCGGGGTCCTGCTTGCGAGGACGATGGGCAGGTATCTGGTATAGAACGCTTGCCTATCCTTGAGTTGGAATCAAATCTATCGTGTAGGGTAAGAACCAGGATAGCATCCCAATAATTAAAACCGTCAATGGGAGGTATGGATTAGTAAACAGATTGAATTCCTCAGCCAGATCCCCAGGCCTGAGAGAAAGAGTGTTATTGGATTGTCTTTATTTGGAAGAGAGCTCTTATTACCAGGGGCCTGATAAGAGAAGGGCTGCCCATGCATTCTCTATGAGGTTGGGAATAAGAGGACTGCCGGTCAATACTTGCCTTTGTTTCCATAGCACCTGCTGGGTGAGGGCTGAGCTCTGCTTTCCCACATGAAGACAGATCAGACGCAGCACAGCCATGCCCCCCTGAGATACATTTGGCTGCATCCCCTCAACAGTTTCACAGACAAATAAACCAACCAGGGAAGTCTGCACTATGTATACCACTTCCCTGATCATCAACGAGATCCAAAACCCCTGCCAACAAAGTATGCCCTCTGTAAACTGTTACCATGGCCTTAAGCTATAGTCCTCTCTCAAAGTGTGTGGCACAGTGAACTTTTGGCTCAAAGTGAGGTCAACCCAGCTCAGCCAAGAGGAAAGTGACCTGAGTGAGACTGAGGTTGTTCCAAGCTTACTAGCCTATATTCCATAGGCAGGGGCCGACAGTGAGGCACTCAGACTCCCCTTTAGCTCTTTTCATCCTAGCAAGGCCGCCACACAGCCCCAGCTCCCAGCAGGAGACATCATGCAGGCCCCGCTGGGCTGTGTCTACAGAGATACAGTGGGGCGGTTGCCACAGCCAGGCCTTCCACAGGCACGCTCAGTATCTTGGTCTCCCTCTCTCCCTCTCCTTCTCTGCAAGTCTGCCTCTCCATCTCTCTGTTCTAGTCTGTTGGAAGTGGAAATGAGAATAGGGGTTGGAGGGGTTGTTGCCTTCTTACTCCTGAAGGCAAGTCACACTCAAATGCGTGGACACACACACACACACACAGGGAGGTGGTCCACTCAGCTCATGAAATACTTGAGTGAGAGGGAAAGAGCTGGTGTGGTTCTGCCTGCCAGGCTGTACACTGACACACAGAGGAAGTACAGCAGAACCAGACATAGGTCAGTGGATCATACCTAGCACAACACACCTTGCAAAGAGCGCCACCACAATAGAGGAACAAGATTATCTTGTTAACACCACTAATGGTTTCAGATGGGCCAAGAGCGATGGAATCATAGGGGCACAAACTCCCACCATTTCTACCAAAGCATCATACTGGCAAGTGGCAACTAATGGATATTCTTTCAGTGTACATTCATATCTTTATAGAACATTCCTTCAACGGTTTTTAAAATCAAAGACCCTCATGCAACATACAGCATACTAAAATAATAAGATGGGTGTGATTTTGAGTCTTGAGGCAATGAGTCCCTCATTAACAATTTAGTCCAAAAAAATCTGCTCAGTGCAGCCAAGGAATATCCCAAGAATGATAATCAAAAACGGGATTGTTGAGCTGAACTGCCGTAAGGGTTTGGAAGGCCCTAGTCATTTGAAAAACACGATATTTCCACTTTACTTATGCAGGTTCCAACTCCTAGTACCTCACATACAGGTTTAACTACATGTTTTTGACTCCCTACAGTATTTACCCTGCTTCACACTGACAGCAATGTCTGCAGTCAGTCAGCCACATCATGGTCCTGATCAGAATGTCTCTCTTCTCATCACTCTCTCCCATCTCCTCCACTCCACTGCCCAGCTAACTCAATCACAGACAGCACAGCGGGACTCAGGCTCTGTGCAAATGGTTTCCCATTACGCTCGTTTGACCGCCAGCTTTGTTTCTGTACACGCATGCAGATCAATAACAGACAAGTGAACAGCACACCACGCCAAAATACCCATTGTAAGTACACACAAAAGCATGTACACATATGAAATGGGTAGCTAGCTACGGGGGTGCTTGCTGTAAGGTTGAGGCTGGGGCCACCCTAATAAAGGGGTGGGTTTTAAAGCAGCAAGTCTACTGCAACCAGGCTGCTGTACTGTAATATTCTAAGGTAAATTTAACCACAGGGTCAGGTTGGCAGACACTGCAACCAACATACACACAGCCAACCCTACCAGACAGCTGTCCCTCTTATCATCTAGTCCACAAGATATCCTGAAATGACAATATCTGGCAACCTGCCTCTCTACCATCTCGATTATACCAAGGAGGGCACTTTGGACTGGGACAAGAGCAGAGCATGTGGAGAGAATGGTCTTACAGGATTGTCAATCAAATGAGATATTTACCAGATATAACCTCTGAACTTCGATCCTGTGCTGTCCCGAAAAGTCTCTTCACAATGTCTCATGCTGCACAACTAGGCCCATGTTGTTTTCCC